TAAGATATTTTGTCGGTATCAACTCTGCATGTGTCAGTGTAACATTCTCTCTGGTCAAAAATCTCTCAGCTGTGCTCATACAAATAGCAATGTCTTCATTTGCTGAAAAATATAATTATATCATTTTAGAAGCTAAAACATAACAATATACAAGTATATCAGTCATGTTAAAAGTTAAAAGAAAAAAAAACAAATTTTAAAATCTTTGATCTAGTGATGTAGTCACTCATCTTTTACCATTATTTTGTAATGTAAGCACCGGGATCTTGACAGCCACCCATCCTATATCACAACATTGTAATGTAAGCACCAGGATCTTGACAGCCACCCATCTTATACCACAACATTGTAATGTAAGCACCAGGATCTTGACAACCACCCATCTTATACCACAACATTGTAATGTAAGCACCGGGATCTTGACAGCCACCCATCTTATACCACAACAGTGTGATGTAAGCACCAGGATCTTGACAGCCACCCATCTTATAACACAACATTGTAATGTAAGCACCAGGATCTTGACAGCCACCCATCCTATATAACAGCATTGTAATGTAAGCACCAGGATCTTGACAGCCACCCATCTTATAACACAACATTGTAATGTAAGCACCAGGATCTTGACAGCCACCCATCCTATATCACAGCATTGTAATGTAAGGCACCAGGATCTTGACAGCCACCCTGAGGATTTTTTTTAATTTATTGTTGTGAATATCGATTGCAGTGTTTATTTTTAACAGTTTTTGGTCAGATGAAAAAAAGATATCGCCAAATACTCTTTTCAATCGACAATACGTTGAATGTGTATCAAAATTGATATCCCGTATACATATCTCCCCCTTTTTTATTGTCATTACGTCAACATGTGCCGATATTACATTCATTACACTTCTCTTTCTTAAATTTAATTTTTGTTTAATTGACAAAATAACAGTTTCGTGCCTCCTGGTTTGTTTACATCTACACGATCTAGGGAACAAAGGGAACGCGAAAGAGTGCGCGTGAAAACCGATACTCTACACCACGTGGTGCTGTGACCACTAACATAGTCAAATTGACCGTGCAGGTAGTCACAATGACTAGATTAGTAGTCATATATGCTGTTGACTATCTTTCGGCTAATATCTGACTAACTGAATAGTCATAGTGACTAATTTAAATTTTCAGTGTTCGTGTTACTTCTGCTTTACTATTCACTGTTTTTTGTGTTATTTTATTTTTACCTGTGTCGTATCTATCGAACAAAGTCTTGTCTATCAACTTATTGGACTTTCAACAACCGACTGTCAATATCTAGATGTAAGTGAACCTAGGTATATATATTTATTGTCAATATCTAGATGTAAGTGAACCTAGGTATATATATTTATTGTCAATATCTAGATGTAAGTGAACCTAGGTATATATATATATTTACTGCTAATATCTAGATGTAAGTGAACCTAGGTATATATATTTACTGTCAATATCTAGATGTAATTAAACCTAGGTATATATATTTACTGTCAATATCTAGATGTGTGAGAAAAGCAATCGAGTTGAGATGACAAATGATAATCTGTTTATCGCTATTTTACCTATGACGACGGTCAAATTCATGTAAATTGCATAAGCAACGCCACGTGCCCCCTTAGTTTCTAGCGATAATTTTTCATATCACTCGACTCCGCTGAGAAAGGAAATTATCAGTCAGCAAGATCAAAGGAAAATTTCGTAAAATAGCAATAAATATATTTATTGTTGAAGACTGTATGTTGACCTCTAGTTATCTTTTGATTTTTGTGTCTTCATGTAGTATACTTCACATCATCTTTTATTCATATTTCACATGTTCGCTTCGCATCACGGAGCTAAGCTATTAGTTTCATACGATATTCACGCCATCTTGAAATTATTACATAACAAATATTCTTTCTCATTTGTTGCCTTATGATGTGGGAAAGATTGATCATTCTATTGGCTAGAATGAGATATAGAATTGGGAACATGTCCCGAACAGAAAAAGATATTAAAAAAATTAGTTGTATTCAAGATCCGATCCGATACCCGATTGCCTTTACTGGTTTACCTTGCTATATGTCGCGTCAAATTCATATGAGGGACAAAGATGAACAAGTTTCTGAGTGGTCATCTTATTATATAAGAATATACCCAAACACTTAAAATACATATTACTGCCAATGACCTTCAAAAACTTTGTCGGAATACATTTGATCTATGTTATAAAACCAAATAACATAGAAAAATAACCAGCTCCACCACGAGTTCATAATAACCCCGAATTGTGCATTATAATTGTTGTGATAATGATCCGGAATATTGAGGAGGCATCAAATAACAAGTTAGTAAAATGGCTGTGTAGAAAAACATGCATGATGAACAGTATCCATATGCAAATAAATATTGCGTCAGAAATAACTGTTATAAGTCCGATAACTCTGGCACGATAAACCATACATTTTCAAAATACAGAGCAAATCTCTCCTATACCAACAACATAGTAAAGTGAGCAGTAAATTGATCAAAGCATACTAGATCTAGTGGATTACATGTAGATTAATACCTATTATTAATGTGATCGTCAAATTCCGATTACAGTGGAATCTCTGGAATGACGCAACCAAAGTTTTTGATAATCAAAATGAAGCTTTCTTCTAATTTTTATGGAGATATTGTTTACCGAGCCCGGAAATTTAGATACAATCCGGGTAAACTTATCAAACCTTTACATAAACTTATTCTAAAAGGTTACCAATTCAACACTGTAATTAGATCTTTGAATATTGTTTTTATTGGTATAAATATTGATTTTGTTATCAATATACTAAAACTATACTTAATAGTATTGTTACACACATATGCACATTCACGGTTCTACAATATGTGAGTACCTATATTTTGGCATTGCACAAGGTAATGTTTTTCTCTGGCTGTAAATGACGTATTTACACTAAATCCATTGGATGTTGGATGTGTACTGATTGAAATTCTAGTAATAGATACACGATTTTTTATTAGTTGTTATTGCCTAGAACTAGCTGTCAGTAACTGCGAGTACTCTCAGATCTGTACTTCGTATCGATCTGACGAGTTAAACCCTTTTCAACTGATTTTTATAGTGTGTTCTTATGTTGTACTGTTACACCACTGTCCCATGGTAGGGGGGGGGGGGGGGGGGTTGGCGCCTTCAAACATGTTTAACCCCGCCACATTTTCTATGTGCCTGTCCCTAGCCAGGAGCCTGTAGTTGAGTGGTTGTTGTTGGTTCATGTATGTTATATTTGTTTTTCGTAAATTGGTTTGTTATAAATTAGGCCGTAAGTTTTCTCAATTGAATTGTTTCACATTTTTTATGTCGGGGACTTTTACAGCCGACGATACGGTATGGGTTTTTCTCATTGTTGAAGGCCGTTCGGTTGCCTATAATTGCTTACATTTACTTCATTTGGACTTTTGTGGGGTTCTTGTTTCTTTATTTTCATTTTTTCTGTGTCGTATTTTGTGGATTGGTGTTTGTGACTAATACACAAAAAGGAAATGAGGAATTACAAATATATTCGGCAGTACAGCAGACCACATCAACCTACAACTGTGTCCTCTGAGAAAATAGACACATTAACAAAGACAAAAACACATTGTTCAGACAATCTGAAATCCTACAGGTATAAAATGAGATGAAGTTTTACGTGACTGTGCATAAATCTTCACCTTTTTACAAATCTAGAAAATATATCCTAAAGTAAAACAAATAATATAAAAACCTGTACAGTCCAGCGCATGTGTTGATGATGTATATAAAAGATGAGGTGCATTTTATTTTATTTTGTTTATAACATTCAAATCTACGTAAATGTTTGATAAAAACGCATTATTGGTGTAAGCCATCTGTATATAAACTTTTGCAATTATTAAAGACTTACCCAACTTATAGGTAAATTCATATAAATCTACCAAAAATAGTCTCATTATGACAACAAAATAGTCAACAACAGATAAGCTCGCCATAACAATTTGTAAAAAATAAATCTTCCAGAATCAAAAAAGGCTATTCCCAGATTTGTATTCCGATGGTGAATAAGTTAAAGTTATACTGTTGTCAAATTATTGCGTTTTGATTTTGGCTCTTACTGACAGTTTGAAACACGCGGTTTTAATGTTTCATCGTTTTTCCATTTCTGCATTAAAACTCGTCACACATTTTTAATTTCGGCACTGCACAGTATAATGTTGTTTTGAACATCATAAAGTTTTCTGTATAAAATCTAATCGGAAGTACAGTGGCCGAAGTAAGAGTGTAAGAAGTTGAAATTTCTATATCAGCCGATTAAGAACTTTGATCTTGCTTTCAGTAATTTATTTTATTCTGTCCGTGTTTAAATCGTCTGTAACACGCTAATCATAAACTAATGTCTTTTTGCTTGAATGACTGATTTTTCTTAATTGATTGAAACGGACGTTCTTCCATGGACTATTTGTTTCCTCGCTGATCAAAATTTTAAAAAAGGAGGAAAAGATGAGCACTGAAAACATCACTTTAAAGCAACCACATGTTAGTATGTCTATGCAAAGTCAGAACCCTCTTCATTGATTGTATTAAGTTATATCCATGTTTTTGTCAATTTTAGATTTTAGGTACTCTTTGTTAAGAAACTGTGAAGTTTCGAGGCGCGTCAATTGTTTGACATATGATATTAGAGACTTGTAAATTTTTAGTATCTTTTTTGTGATAATGTTGATAAGTTGATGCCCCATCGAAAAATTCCCCATTTCGCTTTTTATTCATACGAATGAATCAATTTAATAAAGTCGACCAAAGATTTGACAACTCCAATATCTCAAATGAATTTGGGGGGGGGGGGGGGGGGAGACAGTTATACGCCGATATGCCTCATTATGGATACTCCGATAGGAACACATAATTATATTGTTGGCTTGGAATAATTATATAAAAAAGTTTCAACAGAACGTTATTATTCGAAACACAACAAGAACCGTGTGGGTAAAAATTGTATTGTACAAATAAACTAATTACACAAAATTGTGAAAAATAAAAATGCTAAGTGAATCATAGTAATCGATCAATCAACAATTTGTCAACGTTATTTAAATGAAATTTAGTTCTCAATCTTGTAGATGTATTTCGAAACCAGAAATATCCTTGTCTCAGTATTTTAAAATCAAATATGTCGTCTCATCATTTTCGTACTATAGTGGTTTAATATTTTGAAGTATACGTGTATTAAAATCAAATTTGTAGATAAATTACTTGTCCAATGGCTTAATTCTTTTTTCCACCCACTTTGGGGTTGCCCAAGGACTGCTCCAAGCATACTTTGGAACATTTAAAACATAAATCAACCATGACTGTGCGATTAATAGTGACGATATAATCTGTACTGTGGTGAGCTGGTGAGAGAGTAAAATGCACATAACCATATGAACAAACACATCAAATAATGTGCCTAGGATCGACCAGATATGCCATTCTTTGTACCTCGTACTCCTAGTCCAATCTAAAGAACTCCAGCTTACAATCTATAATTTCAAAAGCATTTATCAATAACAACTGCACACGCTTCTGAAGTATTATGAATTTTTATTGAAAACATATTATTTTGTTTGAATATTTCCGTATTATGGTTGATGTTTTTTTAGATAAATACTTTGATATGTTCTACCTGTCAGAAGATAAAACGGTAAGTTGAATGTTTATTTCTTTATATAGTTTGTGCGAGATAAGGTTGAGTATATCCCTCAATGTTCGTCAGATTTATACTAAGTAGACTACTGCGTCATTTCGTTACACCACTGTTCCAGGTTAGGGGTTGGATTGAGCGTTCACAACCCTTCTCATTCTCTTAGTGCCTATATCAAGTTTGGATCCTGTAATTTAATGATTGTCGATGGTTGCTGTCTGCTGTTATATTTGTTTTACGTTTATTGTTGGAGTAAAAAATAGGTCGTTTATTTTATCTTTTGAATTGCTTTACATTATCTCATTCCGGTGCCACTTATAGCTTACTTATGGTAAGGGTTTCCTCGTGGTTGAAGGCAGTCAATGGACCTGTAATTGTTTACATCTTTGTCCTTTGGTCTTTATATAGTTGTCTCATTGGCAATCATATATACCAAACTACTTTTTTAATACTATGTGTGTTTCATCTCTAGAAAATACATTAAAGTGTAGTAGTTTTGTTACTGTTTGTTATTTCTTATTCTTGCACAACTGAGCACTGGTCGATTTTGCTTTAAGATCGTCACACGGCATATGATTTTTACTGTGTCGCACATTTTTGTCTATAAGTTTTGCTCTTTGATTCATTAAAGAATGACCATTTATGATCATTTATATTGTGTAATTTTGTAAATGAAATATATCTATAACTTTTCCATGAATAATATTGTATGTACATGTAATACTCGCTGATACTTAAAATGTTTACTTTTGTATACCTTTTTAGCTGCATCAGTCTTTTCCCACATAAGATAATAATACAAATGTTGTATCAACTGGATCCCTGATAACCACTGCAACTTTCCCAAAACAACAAAAGAAGATAGGAAAACAGTTAATGTATCAACCAGGAAATAAAACCGCATTCTTACGAAATCTTTTCTTGGTAACTGACGAACTCGGAACATAATTAAGCAATGTCCCACAAAATGGAAAGACTCCAGTCCAAACAAAATGAAAGCCAATATCCCAATTAAAGAAAACATCTCTTCTATTTACCCTGAAAATGTAAGCATACAGTCATGTTAATCTTTAAAGTATGAATTGTGCATACAGTATATGATAATGATAATATAAGTAAATACATGTGCTTATAAACAAACAAACCAAATGTCAGACGAGAATGGCGTTTTTGATTCATCATGTTTGCAGCGTGTACAAATACATTAATATTTTCATCTTCAAATATTGAGGTTTTTTTATTACTTTTCTAATGGTCTAATCAAAAATCATACCTTCACACCGAATATTGATTGTGGTTAAGGGCTGAACGAGGAGAGGTTTCATATACATGGACGAACGAAAATTAAAAACGCTAACCAAGTTAATCTAACAATTGTTAGGGTTGGACGGAGTATTTCTTTTTCTTATACAAATAATCCTTTACCACCTTTAATGAATTCAAAAGCAAAACAAGCAATATATCTTTGTTCCAAAAGATGTTTAATGGATACTAGTTTCAAGTTCTTATAATGCATGTGATTAAAATAAGGGACATTATAAAAAAAATTAAAAGCTTTTGAGAACTAGATGAGGGGAAACAAAACAATTGTAATTGTGTAACCACATGTAAACAGACCAGCACTCAATATTATCAAATTCTTTATTTACAACAAAAAGTTACAAGCATACGTATGACATAAATAAAAGATCATGACAAAACAGACAGAAGTAGAAAATACAAATCCAATTTAAGCTATTAATATTATTCCAAATAGCAAAGATATTTAACAAATGCGACAAAAATCTCATCAGAAGTAAATAAACAGTCAAATAAACAGTCACTTCTAAGCTGAGTGGTCGGAATATCAATTTTCCTAGCGGCAAAAGTCTTAAACATAAGTACAAATGTGGTGCTTAATAATAGCAAAGGTATATAAACAGATGACTTACGCAAGTAGTATGGTTTAATTAAACATTCACGTAGAATCGGAAATATAGAACACAATATCAATTAATCTCTCGAGTATAAACACGGATTTATTGTATTAAATAAAATAAATTTAACATGTACATCTCACGTGATTAACAATAAAAACGTATTAATATCTGATTGTAAATGTCCTTGTGTGTGTGTGTGTTTATTATGTTATCTAGAAGCATAGATAAACACATCTATCCAGAAATTAAGGCCTTTTCAGTATTTAGGTATAAAAGTGGTAGGCATCATTAATTGGTAAGAAGGTGGTTTGCATAATACATGCTTTTATCCCTAAGAAATCGCAGATACTTAATTTATTTTACGGGAAACACTTATCAGGAATATATCAACCTACATCTGTCTCCCGAGGGCAACCCGATGTATACAAATTGTTCCCAGGTTTCATTTAAGGGTACAACTCCTTTGCAAGAGGCGTCCGTTTGGCTGTGCGGGATGTATAGATTGATCGTCCAAGAACCTGTCAACAACTCTTTGTGAGGTCAATAGGCCGTCTGTTGCAATGTAAAATTCCTGTCCCTTTCCAACATATCCTCATTTTCCAGTGGCAATCAATATTTCCCCATCAACCTTCATCCCTGTCAACCCACTTTGCAGGCCCTACCGTTTGAATTTATTTTCAAAAATTTGTTCTCATCCTGAATAAGTGTAAAATATATGCTACAGGGCGTTCAACCTACAACAATCAGTCAAACCTTCATCGGATTTTGTACACAGAGAGATAACACCGATATCATAACAATCTAAAGGGTCAACAACATCTGAAAAGTCAAAAGTATAACAACACTAAATTTAGGTAGACAAATAATGTTATAAATCATATTTCTAGTATTTCAAGCATGCCAAGGCCTCCCACTGTTGGTCGGTGGGTTGTTATAGTACTGTCATTTTCATATTATTCTGCACTTTGATAACTATTCTATATGACTTAGTGATTGTGATTTATACTGACTTCTGGACATCATTGTGAATGTAATGAATATGTATCTGTAGTTTACATGATAATGTGTAGAATAACTGCCATTTTCGTTTAGGTTAAAAATTGTAAATTAGTGTTTACCTTACCGTTTGACAAGCGTGTAGTGTATAAAAAAATGTAGATAAATTTAGAACAGGAAATACATATCGTGTATGCGTACTCCGCTGATCGATACAGAATTCACTTGAAAATCATCAGTGCTGCAAATTACTTGATTGATGCTTTAATCGATTAATAAGTTATTTACAACAACTACTACTACTATTTCTACATTGTACCACTACTAATAATGATACAAATGAAAACAAAAGATGACATTAAAAAGACCAAATTAGACAAACCTGGTCACCCTGTTATTCTATGCTTCACACTTCAAAACCAGTAACCTATTAACATCTTTTAAGTTAAATATTTTAGTTGAAGCGACTGGTTGGGATGTTTTATGTGTGGCAACATTATGACTGGTGAACTGTATCGACCAGGGACGTTCACATAAATACAGCTGTATTAGCTGAATTGGGAATGTACCCTATTGGTATACAGGCCCTTAAGTCTTCTGTAGGATTTTGGTTACATATTTTAAATTCAAATGAAAATGAGTCTTTATTATATAATGTTTATAAAGTTAACAAGCAGTTAAATGATGGATTTGCTTCAAAAATTAAAATGCTACTATCAAAATTGAATTTCACTCATGTTTGGGAAAATCAATGTACCTTTTCTAAAAAACGATTACTTTTAGCCCTCGTGAAGAAGCTCAATGAAAATTACATTATATTTTGGAAAAAATGTCTCTTTAATGATGATAATTCAATAAATAGAAATAAACTAAGAACCTACAGAAAATTTAAAGTAAAGTATGAACTAGAAAAGTACCTTTTATTGAATTTAGATAAAAATGTTACAAAAAATTATGCCAAAATAAGAATAAGTAATAGTATGCTGGCTGTTGAACGCGGTAGATACAACAAAACAGCCTTGGGAAATAGAACATGTCCTTTATGCCATAAAGAGGTGGAAGATGAATACCATTTTATCATAACATGTACAGAAATTAATAAAACTAGGATCAAAATGTTTAATGAAATTTCTAGTATTGTCCCCAGTTTTAATTCAATGAGTAAAGAAAACAAATTTGATTTTATATTTTCTTGTGAAGAATGTGATATTTTACTTATCATTGTTAACAATATAAGTGAAATGTATAATGAGAGAAACAATTATAATGTCAATATATGAACTGTGTGTGATTGGTGGCTTAACTTATAATGTTATATATAATCATAATATTTGAATTGATAATTTTATAGAGGAGGCATGCTGTCAAAAATAGTATAATACTTAATATTAATAATCTTTATTTTTTTTTTCAATGCTACATGTTTGTATTGTTTAATGTCTATCGTTTTGTCATTAATATGCCTGTCTGTCTGTCTGTTTGTTTGTTTTGTTTTGGTTTTGTATTGGTTTGTTTATTTAGTAACAATCCTATTGTTTGGATTTTAAACTAATAAAATTCTTATTCTTATTCTTATTCTTATTCATAAAAGATGTATAAAAAGAAAGAAAAGTTAATTTCAGTAGAACATTTGTTATAAGTATCATCTAATTGTTGTAGGCTAGCAATCTGGAAGAGGCATTTGCCCTCAATTATACATAATAACTCGAGGACAATTTTAACATATACGCAACTTCCCTCCAAAAATATGTTAATGACCCTGACACCAATGAGAAATTAACCGATTAGTAATCTAATACGAAAACTAAGATCCCCATCCCTTTTACTCGCAATACTTTTAGGTACGATTTCCCGTGTCCGAGTCCGTAATGACGCAATTAAACTGTGTAGAGGTTATTTTTTGTTTGTTTGCTTGATGCCGTTGTAGGAAGGCGTCAAGCGCGTCAAGCAAATATGGTGATGGCACCTAAAGGTAGGTTTTAAAAAGAGTGACGAGTCAAATAAGAGGGTCGAATTCTTCAACATAAATCATGCCATTTGCTTAATTCGCCTGTGTGAAAAACTGGGAGGGTGCAACGAAAAATGTGATCTGACTTTTTCAACCTCCACATTGAAACAACAACTATCATGGAATTTTCCCATACAAACACATCGTTTGTATTTGGTCGGGTGAGATGGAATAGGAGCCCAGTTACAGGACACCAGTCCAGTACCCTACCCACGAATGAAGTCCTTTAGTAAATCTACTATCTTTTAAAGATGAAAATTATGTAAACATGGTAAAGATGCTGAAATTTGTAATACAGTCAAAGGGTACTTATTAAACTTTCAACTTCTGTTAAATTTTATGTGATTCTGAAATGTATAGGGTGGATGATTGTCCGCGAGTAAATGGTCCAAATATTAATCACGAAGTGAATAAAATGATCCTATTAATACTCAAACGGTATTGCTTTCTTAAATGTCGGTCATGACCCTCCAAGAAACCATGAAAGAGGCTGCTATTATGAGAAAGTAATATGAATTTGTCAGTCAGGGAAAATATTGGGGGGGGGGGGATCTGCCCTGCAATTTTATCATTGAAGTAATGTGGAAAATAATTGGGTTTCCATTCTAGATATGCATCACACACAGGCACTTGTCTCTGAAATATTTTTCCCTATATACCTTAATCTGGGAACAGTATATCTAACATATATCAATATATATGTTCCTGTCTTAATATAACATGTGTTATATTAAGGTATATAGGATTTTTTTTCAGAGACAAGTGCCTGTGGCATCACAGCTTTTATATGTCGGCTCTAATTTGTTGATACGACCAAAAATTGCATAACGCTTTTTTGGTGGTCGTAATTTTTTGAAGGGTAGTTTCTTTGAAAACCCATATTTTGTGTTAAAAAGCAATGATTTTTCTATTTAACTTTTTAAAACAATTTAAATCGAAAGTATGAAACTGTTTCATATTTGTATTTTATTTCTGTTATTAGTTTTTTTGTCTTCTCGAAAGTATCATTTTAACATATAATTTAAAAATAGGAGTTAAAAAGTATTGTACTTATTCAAATGATTAATCAAAATTTATATAAAATTATGATGATGAGAAGAAGAAAAGAAAGAAAGGTAGACGAAGAAGAATAAGAAAAAGCTCTTAGTTGTATGTATCGGAGCATCAGATGCAGCATAATATTCTACAAAGAACATGACCATTTGTAGTTGTCCGATGCATTCGATAATGTAAGAACCGTATGCTTTTATTTAAATTGTCGGAATCGGTATAATCTCTATTCCGTCTTTGGTGGCTAAATATAATTCCGTCCTACATACTGACACTTTACAGTTGTCAAAGTGAATATGTTCACGACAAGAAATACAGTTTTTATTGTTATTTTGGCATTTATTTTAAACTATTTTAAGAACGTTTTTGAAGAGGATCTTCCGCCGGTCGTAGAGGGGTTCTTTCTTCCAGAGTTTAGATCTGTTGCAGAATTATTTAGGTAAGCCGGCTTTTACTACTCCGTTACTGTGATTTACAAATGTACATTGCTTCCCTTTAACAATTTTCTATCTGTCTTCATTACGACCAAGTAGTAAACTCAGTTTAAGTGTAAATACTCATAGCTATTAGATACGAAGTGTGTAGCAGTGGCGGATTCAAAGCTGGGGCGTAGAGGTTGTACGCCCCCGGCTTTGATTGGAAAAAATATCCCTTTTTTGCATAAAATCGTCAATTTTTTTTTATGAATTACGCCCCCTTCAAAAATCCTTGATCCACACTATTTCAATACTATCCTGTGTACAATTTAAAAAAGTTTGTATATACAATTAAAATAAAGTCAGCATATATACAATTAAAATGTAAAATGTATACATGTAGTTTTGCAGTGTCGGAGAAGTGTCAACATGACGTTGACAGCTTGAATGGTGGGTCAAAAGTGAAGCTTAGATATCTTGATGTATGGTGTTCCAATTGCAATATGGTGGCTGGTACAAATGTGTATTTAAAACAGTCAAGTTTTGCGAGTATCTGTCTGCTGTTTAACCACTGACGTGGAGATGGAAGTGGAGAATGTCTCACCTGTCTGCTGTTTAACCACTGACGTGGAGATGGAAGTGGAGAATGTCCCATTGTGGTGAACAAGAACTTACAGAACATTCATGATTTCAATTTTGGAGAATTGTACTTTGTTCCCTGCTCTCCTGTGTTCTAGTGGTCCCTAAATCTATTTGTTGAATCATGTTCGTCCCATAGCTATGACCCCTTTAAACGTTATCTCCTGTTTACTAGTAGCTGAATTTGTTGTTGCTGGTAGGGGTCCCAAACAGAGCTGGCATATTAAAGGTGTATAAGCTTGGCGTTTTTTTAAACGTTTTTATGGCAGTTCCCGAGGTTCATTCACTCTACCCTGTGCGCTCCGGAAACTACCTCCAATGCGTCCCATGAGCTGCCATGTAAGGTCCCATAAAATCCAAATACCATTGATTTATTACTGATATTGTGACAGGGTTCATCTGACCTTAACTCATTTTCCGGTTATTTCATGATCCATACATCAACATTAAGTTTTTCACTATATATTACTATTCAGCTAAACATTTTACTGAAAATTTACGATTAAATTGTTCGTATATAAGTTACATGTATACAGAAAGGTGCAGGACTCCCCAGTATATATATGTCTAAACATGAGACAACTTTACGACAGACGTTCAGTCTCCATCGGATAACCCTTGGTTATACAGTAGAAAAACAAAGGATATGGGGTATCCATCCATGACACAAAAGCAGTAAATGCACAACAAAAAACATACAAAAAGCAAAGGAACAGCGCTTTTATTGCTGTTCTTCATCTCAAAGTCACAGTGAGACCTCGACACAGAGCAAAAAAAAACTCTCACCTCACTGCAAGTTTAAGACGGCCCCTACCATAATTTATGTATACTTCGTCTCAAATTTAGCCTAACAATGTTAGATCTGCAATTTTTCGTTAGCAAATTTTTTTTCTTTCCTCAGCGGGATTCGACCCCTGCTTCTGTGACATGTGGGGGGGGGGGGGGGGGGTAACACTATGGACAACTCGACCAGGCAACTAGGCTATATCAAAATATAGCTTTCTTTAGTCAAGTAATGTCTTTCCTTGTGTTGTTACACATCATGATGTAAAGTGGCAACTAGATGGTCGCTGAACTGCATCTGAATATCGAAACAATGATATCTGGATCACTTATACTTTCAGAGATACTATCAATTTAAAATATATATCTATGAACGTATAGAATGTATGTAGAAGACGGCGAAAGATATCAATTTCACAATGAATTTCTCGAAACTCCGTCCACAGAATTTTGTTTAACAATGATATACTAGTGTTTTAAGCATTTCCGTTTTATTGCGTAATTCATATGTAACAGATAATCCAGAGAAAAAAAATATCATTTATAATTAGAGACCTAAAAGTATCTTTTGTGATTAACTATTATGTAGTTTTTATGTTTACTGTCAAATTGTTGATAACATCAAATTTCTTTTCTATTTACCCGGTATATTTATAAATTAAAGCGACAGTAGTTTACCGATGTACAAATCTCATAAATCGATTGAGAAGAAACAAATCACGAAAACAAACAAAAACTGAGGCAATATATCTTCAGGAAAATGTAACTACAAACTTACCTTGACCCTTTTAAAGTCGAAAACTTTATGTATAGATATCAATTCTGATCGTATTCTACAGTTCGGCTCTCTTTGTTCGATGAAAACGTTCTGTATTGTAATTAAAATCACTGCACAAAGACGTTGCAGAGAGATTATTTATCTGATCAACTGAAATCGGACAAAAGCATCACCAACATGTAAAAGTTTAAGTTTTCTTTCTATATGGAACAGAACTAAGTATTTTTATTTTAATTAATTTTAAACTTCAGGAAACAAGTTGAAAATCAGAAAGAGAAAGGAGGCAACTTCGCCGTGTATTTTAAAGGGGAGTTGGTGATAGATTTGTGGGGAGGCTATGCCGACAGAGATTCTCATCAGAGATGGAAGAACGATACTCTAGCCACGCTGTTTTCCACTACAAAAGGAGTAGCAGCCATACTAGCGGCCAAACTTGTAGACAAGTAAGCTTTGAAATTCACCAAGCATTACAGTTCACAATTTCTCAAATTCATAGGTAAATAGCATAGGCATGTTCAACGGAAAAAGAAGGCGGACAGAAATCCTGATCATAAAAAGAGATAAATGAAGAGGCAATTATCAAATTATACTAAAAATCGCATCCCCGAAATCTTTCAATTTGAAAAAAGAATTATAAAATTGTGTTGTATATTTATTAACGTTTTACTGTAAGGAAGAACATATTAGTTAGTAGTCATTTTCTCTGACAGTATAATATTTATAAACTTGCGCAAAGAACATGAAAATCTTTAAATTGAATTTATGTAGAATTTTTCGTTTTCAGAGGACATTTAGATTACAAAGAACTAGTATCACATTACTGGCCTGGGTTTGAGTCTAATGGGAAACACAATGTTACAGTAGAAATGTTGTTAAGTCATCAGGTAAGAATTATTTCCTCTACATTTCTCTGTTCTGTAATTTATGGTATTCCAGATAATCATGCGGTCTGCTGATAACATTTTCGATTTAAATTATTATAGATCCTTCATTGATCGTAGGAAGGCTTCAAAGCAAATATTAAAATAGCCTTCCAAGACTTCACAATTATTTAGACTACAATCTATGAGAGCATTTCTTATCTATCTCTGACCAAAAGAAAGTTGACAAACAAACAAACAAGTTCAATTCATCTTTCTTTTGTCACAACGGTCTAGATGACATTGATTTAGGCAATACGGGCCATTTTAAATTAGTCATGACTTAAATTCCATCTTATTTTAAAGATTATTCTAATGACTAACACATACCATTGCAAATGAGATTTTTAGCAAAAACAAAACACAACTAGAGGCTCTAAAGAGCCTGTGTCACTCACCTAGGTCATGCTTACTCCTGCACAAGATCACAATTCACATAAAAATTGAATGGCCACATTATTTGAAGTATATGAACTTGCAATTGTAAACGAAATCATTTAGCCACGAGCCTAAATCCATAACATTGAAACATTATTTTGAAATTCTAATGTATTCTGTCTATGATCAAAATGTGAAGAAAGAAGTAAATGGGTAAAATCTGTGAGTTCATTGATACAAATTAGAACTAAAAAACTATTCACACTCATTCTACATCTATCCTCAAAGACCAAATTATTGTTAGATCCCTACATACCCCATGAAAAATATGTTGTCCTCAAAAACAATATCTTGACAACCATAGGTCTGTTTGAAGTTCCTTTGGAAGGTCAACCAAGGGGAATGACTGAATCATCACCCACTGGATATTTAGAGTACTAAAATGTCCTTACAGAAAATGTTGCCCTATGTCTATCAAATGCTCATTTACATACCTCTCTTCTGCTAAAATCTATTCTGTCAGCAACAAAAACCGAATTTCAGAGTTCCTGTAAAAATGAATTTTTAGGACGTAAAGTTCAGGATAAAGAGAAAAGCTTTTCATTCTTCTTGAGAAGCCATGTGAAATCTGCCTATACATTTACGAATATGGAAACACAAGTAGGCGATAAGAAAATTCCTAAGGATAGACCTGTAGATATTGTTTAAGTGGACAATACGTTCACTGTCTGAGTGAGATGTGAGGTTCGAGAACAAACACTCAAATTCCCTTTGCACTGGTATTAAAACATTGGACTTATCTACCGTTTAAACGTTTTCCTCAATAAAAACTTAAAGACGTATTGAAATAAATCGCCCATCTTTGTTTCATAGAAAAAAATGGCCAACATAGATATAAACCCTAGTTTTAGGAAGAGACAAATCTTTTGTAAAAAAACCCAAACAAATAAAAACTCTGATTTTAATAAAAGGTTAAGATTTTTGATTTTTTTACTTACAGCATATTGGTTACTCGTATGTTAAATGGACTTGTTTATTATCAAATAGTCAACATTCCTACGGGAATCAACTGTGCTCGTCTTCTCGCCTACCTGTTCTATATTCGTATATGTAGGAGTTAAGAGGACTTTTTTCATGTTACTCATAAAAGTGTACAGAAAATCTAATCAACATTGTAGATTGATTTATTGATTCTTGTTTTACTCCACTTTCAGCACCATTGTGCTATTTCGTGGCAGGGTGTCAGTTTTTGTTGGTGGAGGAAGCCGGACTGTCCGGAGAGAACCACCGACCTTCGGTTAAGAAAAATAAAAGTCCTAGTCAATTAAGATTGGAGTCGAGCGCACCTTCGAACTTACAAACTCAGTATTGACAGGCTAGTGATACAGTAGTTCGACTACTTAGACCACTAGACCACCGAATCCCCCATTTCTGATTCAAACACTGGGAATAAATGATACCCCAGATATAGATCAACATTGTTCAGAGGATCCAATCAACATTATAGATTCAAACACTGGCAATTAATAATACCCCAGATATAGATCAACATTGTACAGGGGATCCAATCAGCGTTGTAGATTCAAACACTGGGAATAAATGATACCCCAGATATAAATAGTTCGTTATGTTTTATATCTTGAATTCCTAGAGAAAACTACAGAGAGGGTCGGTTAAGAACTTAACGATGAAAAAAAGAGATTACTTTGATATAATCATGGTGAATTTTCCGTATATGTATGCAGCAACATTCAAGCGAGACGTGAATAGGGAGTATAAATTTCTCCAAGTTGGCAAGATTTCCCAAACCAAGTGTTTCCTATCACTATTTTTTTGAGTGTTGCTTTCACGGAGGCTATTGAACCAAACTTACTTAATTTAAAGGTCACGAGACAACAGTGGCAGGGCCTCAGATCAAGGATGTTGAATAATCACATAGAAGTTAATACATTTTCTGCAATAACTTTAATGTTATATCGAAATATTTTTGTCGTTTACACTTTAGTTTTTTTTTTAGAGATGTGTTCCTCTATTTACTTATCATGTTTGATTGAAAAATGTGAATATTGTATTTAAATGTTTGTAGGCTGGACTTTCTTATATGGATAAAAAATTAACTTTAAACGATGTGGAATCGGACCCAGAAAAGTTAAGAAAAACTCTAGGAAATGAACGTCCGAAATGGCCACCAGGTAAGAGTTGACAAAAATAAAATTATATCTTCTATGAAAACATGTAATATCTAGATGCAAGTTTATAATTTTCTATTGTAATTGCACTTTGAAATCAGGTTAACATCAACATTTTCTTCAATCTCATTTCCTCTTTTTATGCCCCACCTAGGATAGTAGAGGGGCATTATGTTTTGCGGTCTGTGCGTCCGTTCGTTCGTTTGTCCGTCCGTTCGTCCGTCTGTCCCGCTTTTTGATGAAGTTGAAGTCCAATCAACTTGAAACTTAGTACACATGTTCCCTATGATATGATCTTTCTAATTTTAATGCCAAATTAGAGTTTTGACCCCAATTTCACGGTCCACCGTACATAGAAAATGATAGTGCGTGTGGGGCATCCTTGTACTATGGACACATTCTAGTTTGTTAGGACTTTCCTTCATTTAAAAGTGAAGGGATAGAACATGTTTTCATCACGATTTTTTTTTCACTTACCTTCAAGGAAAATATATTCTTGTTATTGAAAATGGTCGAATATAATATGAATGACAATATTGATATAACTGAGAATGCCAAACAACAATTAATTTGAAAATTTGTAACAACATAAGTAACAATTGGATGTAATTACCAACAGGCACAGGGTTTGCTTATCATGGTATAACTTTTGGATTTTATATTGATCAACTATTACAACTGGCTGATCCACAGAAGAGAAGAGTAGACAGGTTGCTTATAGAAGAAATAGCTGAACCATTAAGTAAATATTTTTGTAACGTTTATATTTTATTGAACAGTGGAGTTTTTAAAGAAAAAATAGCTCAACTCTGTAGAAAAGATATTTTAAATGTGGGTTTTTCCAAATAATAGTAATAAAAGAGACGTGGGTATTTGCCAATGAGATTGCAACCCAACAACACTCACATCGAAAGGAATACATCTAGAATAGAAACATCATGTTCCAAAATGTTTTCATGTTAGATACTCAAAACATTGTACCTAACTCCCAGATTGTTTAATAGATTGCTGCTTTTTGAGCACTTCAAAAATATATTAACGTTTGAACATTCCAAATATGGTATTGCAGTTTGATATACTTTAATCAAAACTTTAAAAAAAAGTTATGAAGTATGATTTTCTATTGAAATTGCACTTTGAATTCAGTTTAACATCAACATTTTCTTCAATCTCATTTCCTATTTTTTATATTGTTACTGTACAATTAATACCATATGTATATGTATATGCTCGGAAACGGACCCTTTAATTGGATTTAATAAATTATTCGTTGGGCGGTATATCGGATTTTTATGAAACTTTATATGCATTAACTTCTTCTTGTACAGCATCGGATTAGCGAAAAAATGATAAAGGCAACATTTATACTAACAAAGATACTATCAATTACACATTTATAAAATAGATCTATAATTGTATAGAATGCATGTAAAAAGAGGCTGGATTTTTCACTTTAAATTTTGACTACTCGGAATTACATCCACAGAATTTTGTTTAAAAATGAAATGTTATTGGTGTGAACATTTACTTGTATTTTGCCTTAAAATTAAATACAACAAAACTAGAAATTAAGGCGACAGTAGTTTACTGATGTTCAAATCTCGTAAATCGGTTAGGTAGAGGCAAATCGAGGGAACCGCATGAACTCCAAAAGGAGTGAGAACGGATGCGTAAGAGTCTCCTCCTATGCATGCATGAAAATCATAAAACATATATGTTATCCATGTTTTATGCTTGTCTTCTTAATTACTGATATAATTTTGAAATACGATGGTAATTGCATTTTCTTCAGCACTAATTTTAAGTACAAACCAGAATATTTCATTAATGATCATTTTGTGTGTTGACAGATTTAGATTTATATATTGGTCTACCCAAATGCGAAGTTTACCGTACTGCGAGATTTGATTTAGTTAGTGTTACTAAATACGTTACAAAGTTAATATTTACACCATCACTGTGGAAAAGACTATGGATATTCTTGAGGTATCCAGATAGCATTGCTACTAAAGGGACACGAGTTTTGAAAGGCCCAGTAAGTATATTGGCTATTTCAACTGACAGTTACAATAACACATGTAGTAGATAATCAACAGACAACTTTTGAATATCAAGGTAACCATGCCTGAAGATACAAGCATAAAGAAAATTCGTAGTTGGTTAACCATTTAAATTCGTAGTTTAACTGTACCTACGAAATCCAAGAAACTTGGTACCCCACGTATATTAATGAATCCACAGTAGTAAATAATCATGTCACTGCCACAGCTCAACTTAAGAATTAATGTACATTTGAAGGTTCCTACTGTGTATTGGCTACTTTAACTACACAAAAATCGTTTAATCTCGATTTCTAGTGTTCTAGAAGTACACTTTCTGTACTTTTAACTTATACAAATATGGAACTTGTAATTAACTTTTGTAATAAAGCATATGCAAATTATATACTTCTTTCACGCAATTTTATAAAACAGATTTTTTCTCATTTTTCTAAATGGTCCTTTGAATACACTGACTGTATATTTATTTACTGCAACTCATATAACGCCTTCATCTATAATAAAAAAATAAATATGGTAGATATAACTTCTGATATGTACCACATTTATGGCGTTTACCTCATGTACAGTGATCATTTAAGTCAAATTTTATGGAAATTATGCATGAGATATAAAATTATTTTGTATGTGTAATCATTTCTTGTATATGACTAAGGGCACATATTTCCAGTAAGGCGATATAAGTTGAAGAGGTCATTGCTGTTTAAAATTAAGTGTGTAAACTCTTGTGATAATTATAGATAACTAATGATCCTGCGAGAAGGTGCATACCACTTTCGTCTTTTAACGGTCATGGCAACGCAAGATCTTTGGCTAAATTATATGGAATCCTGGCAAATGGTGGGAAAGACGGGGGCAAAACTCTAATGTCATTGGAAACAATACGTAGACTGTTTACCCCGATTATCTCTGGTTACACTTTAGACCTTGGTGAATATGAGGTGTTAGGACGAGGTTTAACGGAATATAACAATACTGAGGTAAGTAATTAGAGACGTTTAAAATAAGGCAACATAGCTCATTTAGCAACGCTGTCATACCGAGGAATATTTAGTGTATTGGTTTTATCATTATTTCATTCAGTTGGCCAAGACTTAATTAAGTGATACCCCGAAATGATTGTCTCAGTTCTATACAACACAAATGAGCCAATAAGATGCTTGAGTCAACATTTTACGTCAAACTTGCCATGCAATAAAACAAATAACTTTTCGTACCTTTAAGCCTTGTGTCTTTTCCGACGGACTTAGTTTATATTCGATTTTGTAACGTTTGCCTTCAGTGATGAGAAACTGTGATAAGAGCATGGTTGTTGTCTCCGATCTGTTCCGTAATTTTACGAAAATAATGTCATTGTTGATCTTCGAAAATACGTCTTGTTTAATATTCAGTGATTTACAGTAGGTAAAAGTATTCAGTATATATATATATCTTAGATGCAATCTATCCCATTACAATAATACCATCTATATTGTGTTTTTGTTGAAAAGCTTTTTACTAGAATAAAAGTATTTACCAGGGGCAAATTCCGATTTTCAAATCAACCTATACTGTACGAATGTCATATGAGCTGCCTTTTTAACTCACCTGGCCCGAAGGGCCAATTGAGCTTTTCTCATCACTTTGCGTCCGTCGTCGTCGTCGTCGTTAATTTTTTACATTTTGAACTTCTTCTAGAGAACCACTGAATGGAATGAAACCAAACATGGCATGGATGTTCCTTATGAGGTGCTGACTAAGTCTTGTTACTTTGAAGCTGATCCTTCATCCACGATGGCCGCCTGCGGGGGGACTTCCTTTAACATAAGACCCTATGGGAAATACATACAAATGCTTCTTCTAGAGGTGCACTGAATGGAATGAAACCAAACATGGCATGAATGTTTCTTATGAGGTGCTGATGAAGTGTTGCTACTTTGTTGCTTATTTACTGTTCAAGATGGCCACCAGGATTTTTTTATTAAATTACAGGGCCAATATTAAACCAAATTTACTCATTATTAGGATATCTGTTATGATTTTAATCTATTTTTACATGATTTCCAAAACCAAAGTAGAATCATGTGAGCGATACAGGCTCTTGAAAGCCTCTAGTTTCGGAAAATGCCTGTACCAAGTCAGGAACATGGCAGTTGTTTTTCACTGGTTCCGTTGATTGATAGCATTTGATTTTGTCAGTTTTTATGGATAACACTTTTTTGAATCTGCCTTGGATTTCGGTATTTTTATTATACTTCTTTTTCAAAATAGTTAAATTTACGGATGGAAAATATCAAATTTTAAAATGTAAACATTTAGATAATCACAATAAAAGTTGTTAGCTAGTCATTATTACCAATTACAAATTGTTTTAAAATTTGTAGGTTTTCAGTGCAATGCCATCGGTCTTTATGTTACTTATTTATTTGATCGTCTGTACAGGTATATCACGGGTTTTATATCAGTTTCTGTAAATCTATAATTCGAGTTTATATAGCTTAGTTGGTTTATATCCTATAAAATTATTTTGCCTTGCCATTAACCAGGGAAATTTCAATTTCAATAGTAAAACATTTAAACTGGTGTTTGTTAGGGGAGTCTTTTTTTCTTAGGCTTTTATTTAGAAACTATAAATGAATATTTATGGGTATAAAATATATTTTTAACTTGAAATAAAGAACGTTAAAAGATCCATCGCAAATATAGTTATCTCTAATCGGCGTACATCCATTATACTCGCCGAAAGGGTTTACATCTCTAGTTGTTAAATATTCAAAATGTATTTTTTAATTTGCTAAAACAAAATTACCTCGGTCGTTTGGAACTTGAAGATTAGGTATATATGTCTCCAGTGAGCATGACATGAGCTTCTGAAAGAAAAAAAGGGGCGATAGATACCCAAGGGACATTCAAACTCATAAGTCAAAAATTAATTGACAACGACATGGCAAAAAAAGAAAAAAAACCAAAAGACAAACAACAGTTTACAAAATACAACATAGAAAACTAAAATTTGAGCAACACGAACCCCACCAAAAACCGGGGTTGGTATCATGTGTTCCATAAGGGTAAGCAGATCCTGCTCCACATGTGGCACCCGTCGTGTTTCTCATGTAAGTACAAACCCAGTGATAAGTCTAATTCGGTAGGTCACATTCAGGGAAAAAAGGACGGGATTGTGGTTACGACGATTGGAACATATCCGTCGTCATCTGTGAAACAGATATTCCATTACGGTCAACCAACTCGTGATGGCGTCAGTAAAATTTTGGAAGGGATGATTTCAAATTTACCAGTTGGATTTCTTCGTTTAATAGCTTCCTTGCGAGCAGCAAACCTCTATCAAGGAAATCATGAGAGGAAACGTAAGCCCTGGAATATCGTATCAGCTGGGAGATATATACTCCATATGCAGGCGCTGCCGGAATGTTGCTACATAGAAATTGAAAGTTCACAATTGGAAAGCTGAAATCATCTCTTGTGTCGTAAAGTTTTGTTCTCAACCGACCCTCATCGTCAATTTGTAGATGTAAGTCAAGATATGAGGCAGACTAAACTGTATCTGTTGTATCCTTTATTTCAAGTTCGATGGGATAGATGCGTTCAACATAGTCAACAAACTTGAATTATTTAGTGAGAGGACATCATCTATGTAGCGGAAAGTTAAGTTAAAGGATAATTCTAGCTTCTTTTCACAGCCTCATATGAATAAAAAGAACAAGTCGGCAAGAAGAGGAGCACAGTTGTTCCCACGGGAATGCCGATTGTTTGTTGAAAAAACACGTCTTGCAAACGTTACAAATATGTTGTCAATCAAGAAATCAATCAACTTGATAATGTCAGATTCAGAGAATTTTTTGTTTAATTTAGAGTGATTTTTTACAAAGAACGATTTATCCCCTAAAACAAGATACTTGTATCTACGTTGGCCATTCATTTTCATGAAACAAAGCAGGATCAACTCTTTCAATTTGTCTTTTAGTTTGGAATGGGGAATACTTGTGTAAAGCATAAAAAAGTCAAATGTTTTAATACTATTGCAAGATGAAAGAATCTTAGATTCTAACACATCTTTGGAAATTTTTTAGTATCCACATCTGATTCACGCCGCCTCTAGAGTAGGTAGTTCCACAATAACTTTGAAGCAGGGCTTTGATTGCTGATAATATTGATGTTAATAATTAAGAACGATGTTTCGTGGAGCACTTGGAAAACCCGGCCTTATGTAATGTAGGTATCCAATACAGTGAAGGAAGTTCCAGATTTGCATCTTTGGTTAAAATCCAAAGGATAAATAACCTATGATTATCCAGGATTTCCTCTTTGGTAAGTGTTGTGGGGTATATGTTTAGTTTGCAAGTGAATTGTCAATTCCAATTTCATTTATCAAGCAGTTTATGTAATGTGATTTACACACAAAAATGTTGTTTTGGGCTTTATCTGCGGGGACAACATATTTGTCTTGGAGGTATGACAAGTGCTTTACAACATTTAGGCCTTTACATATTGATGTAGCATGTATATTCATAGACCCATTCATTTTTTTTAATTCTGATTTGTATCAACGACCTCACAGCCTTAATCCTTTCGTAGAGAGTATCTTCATTTTCGCGTTTTACCAATTGCCTGGCATAATCCTGGACTGAACCCATAAGTATTTTGAAGTTGTGTTTCCAATTGATGCGTTAAGACTCACGGGACTTTGGATAACACATTTCGCAGAGAAGTGTTATTGACAATGTTTAGGGCTCCAGTCGGAATATATATATTGTCGTCAATATTGCGATCCTGCAACACGTGTTTGTAATTGAAAATTCAAGGTGCAATTGGTTTGCTTTAGGTAAAAGAAATGATAGGTACAGACTGATCTTTAAAATAGGGAGGTATTTTCAAGTGACCTGATATTGCCTAATTTGATGGCGTTGAGATCTTTGTTGACAAAGGAAAATTTTAGAAACGATCTTCTCTCCTTTTTATCTTTTCCAATGCGAACTGGTTTGAAAAGTCTGTGACTGGCACTGTTCGAGATGATAGCTGTAAGTTTGTATTGGTTTGAATGGGGTATTGTAACAGTGATTTCCAAACACAAGTTGTATAGAGAATGAAGTTTTGAAAGGGGAAGTGAACAAAGCTTCTTGTGAATGTGATGAATACTCAACGGCTTTTGTATAAATGGCAGAAGGTCATTAATAGAGACATCATGGAGAGTAGGTGGTGTATAATAATGATTACCATGACTGTGTCTACGTCGAGGAGTAGAGTTAAAAATGTTCACCACATTCACCGTGCTACAGGAAGGGCTAGACAGAATACCTATACCATCGATTTTGTCATTGCATTCATATGGTGTCGCAATTCCCAATTTTCGAATTCAGTAGTCTTCCTTTTGTGTCTACGGAGAGGTGTTGCAAGATGAGTGTTGTTAGTCCTGTGGTTTATTTTTCGATGATGCGAACTTGAATAGAAAGGATTGAATGAGCAGGCTGATTAAAACAACCATAATCAGGAACTCAGGATAATAAACGCGCATTCATTCTATTGCCGTTTAAAGATTATTAGACTGTGAATCATTGTTAAATATTTAGTGATGTAATTAGAAAATTTATTATTTTAAACGCAAAACCAGAAAAAGTGTATACAACTAAGTCATGATTAATTAGCATGATTGGAGAGCGATATATGTACAGAAATAAGAATGTACTTATATACCCGTAACGTTAAAGCCATTATTTTTCGGTAATGGCTGTACATATTAATTTCTCCCCTTTCTAAGGTATTGATCTTTGTTTTGTAGGGAGAAACTTGCTATGGTCATCCTGGTTATGGCGGACAGATGGGATTTTCAGATGTTAAAGAGAACATTGGAATGGCATATCTGACAAATGATCTTTCTGTATACGGAATTGGAAATGATCCCAAGTTTCTTGCCTTACAAAGACAATTCTACAAAGCTTTAGTACAATACAAGAGATAAGATATTATAATGATAGACAGAATCTCTTATATAAAAAAGGAAATTCGTTTATTTTATATTCATACATATTTTTTTTATTTTTATAAACTGGTGAACAATGTGATAATCTGTGATTTAATTTGATTATTTTATCTAGGTATTTGAAAAATGGCAATATTGTAAGCATTTGTATAGACTGTTCATTACAATAGTTATATGTCAGGAGGATAGTATTACTTTAGTGTACTGTATATTGCTGTGTTGTACTGTATGTTGTTAATGGGTCCTTTCTATGGAATTCGCTTTATGAGAATCTTTTATAAAGTACTATGGGTAATTTCATTGATCAAATCCGAAAATGAAAATAATGTCACATCAGGTATTATGTCCATTGTGCTGGACGTTGTAAATGATGCGCGATTTGAAAATATTACCAAGATAGCTCCAGAGTCTGAAATTTTACATTTTTTATTTGTGATAGCTATATCCGATGTATGACAATGCACAGTGAGTTAATGGTTTATGATTGCATGATTTTACATTCCATTTACTAGTATATACATATCTTTTACTTAATGCATTTACTTCTGTAGCTACAATTTTCTACACATACATTTCTGACTATTCGTTTAAAAAATTGCATTTTCTTATTTTCGAGATGTGATATGCAGTACTTTGTCTTACGATATTAGTTTTATTTACTCATAGGTCGGGGTAAAAACTCACTTGTGTATCCATCTGGTCCCGTACTTTTGTTATTTTTTCATTCTTTTAATGGCTGCTGTTAATTCAGAATAAATATTTTCAAAAGGTATCACGGATTTTGGAACTTCCAAATATGGAACTTTGTTATTAAGATCAATTTGTTCTTTAGTTTCTTTTTTAAATACAAATCGTTGTAGTAGTTTTGAGGATTCTGTTAATATTATATAATGATTGATTATAGTCATTCATCATAACTCGTCTTTGAATAGTTTTATAAACAAACTTCTTAGTTTCTAAATTAAGGAAGTATTTTTGGGATTTTTGTCCTTCTACCCACTGCATTTTTGAAAGACGTAATAACCTTGCATTTTTTTTTCTTGTCTTAAAATTTGTTATTCTGATTTCTTTTGAACAAGTATTTCAAAAGCCTTTGTGGTTTGTATAATTCCATCTCATTTATGAGGGCATTGTTCCAATTTATTTTTCCTTTCTTTTTATTAGATGCAAACGAGATTATTTTACCTCTGATTGCTGTCAACAAATTTTCTAAGAACAGTTGTTCATTTTTAACAATTGTAAAATTGAGCAATCAAATTGATCTGGGGAGTCTCTATTATATACTAAAGATGCGTATTGGTCCTTTATTTTCTTGATTGAATATTCTAAATCATACAATAGACTACAATGATCAGATCTATACCTTTTCTGAATTTCTTCTTTTAATATGCATATTTTTGAAAGAAACTCTGAGATACCATTGCAAAAACAAGGCTTGTTTTTTCAGCGCATTATTTCTTCTCCACGTGTACTGTTTTTTTATCAGGTTAAATTCTCGAAGGAATCAATGAGATCATAAGTTACAATAAGTTCAAAGACCTTTGTTGATAGTTACAAGTATATCATGCTTGATTTTGGACTAAGTTAAAATCTCCAATCAAAATAACTTGTTGATAGTTAACATGTTTTCTATTATTTCATTGACATTATTATAAAATGTTTGGTAACCATTATTTGGTCCATATAAATTAACAAGTTTATATTCTTTTTCTTCAATCGCAATGTCTACACTTTAATAATTTAATAATTCTTTATTTTATATATAAAAGAAAAACGTATTAACAAAAATACCGAAATTAAAGGTCGGAAAGGGGGAAGTCCATTAAACCTGACAAAATTAAACGCTCCACTAAATCAACCAACAGAACGAACGTAAAGCAACTGTCATAAGCGTATTTTACGAAGCAAATGGTGGGTTAGACCTGGTTTTTATATCTTCTGTAGCTAAACCTCTCCAACTTCAACGTTGTTTGTAAACAAGATGGCGATTCCTCTTTGATTAGAGGAAAAGTATTTAAAATGCATTTTCCTCCCACGTCGGGGTTGGATAACTTGTTAATCTTTTTCAGTTAAGAAGGTGTCGCGGAGACAACACCTATCAGATTTGATTCAAATATTTGAACACATCTCTCCGGGTTTCTTTTGAATTCTTATGAGAAAATGTTTAAGATATTCTTAGGTCTTAGTCATTTATATCACTAGAGTAAAGAATAAGCATTCCATTTATTTCATTTGAATATCCTCTGCTCACAATTTTAAGTCACTTTATAAAGCTAAGTTCCCGAAAATTCTAATTTGTTACTGCTTATTTTGCGGAATTTCGATAGTTATTTGCTTATTGCTGATACATGCCTTCCTAATTATTTAAAAAATAACCGTGAATGGAAATTAGTTTTTACCTGTTGATACTATTGTAGAACTGTAGCATTCAAAGAAAAACTACAATGTATACACCTTTAAAAAACGTATCGCATCACTCTGATTTTTTTCTCATAAACCAAAAAATTAAGACATATATTATTATGTATGGCTCTACAGGTATATAAAGTATGAAATTCTTTTTTTAACAAGATCACAGGCATAAATAACATAAAAAGTTGAATAAAAATAATGAATTTGATTAAGTACAATTTTTGTCGAGCCTGCGACTAGTGATCCGGCGGCGGCGGCGTTAGCTAACTTCTTAAAAGCTTTATATTTTAGAAGGTGGAAGATCTGGATGCTTCATACCTCATGTTACGAAGTTTCCGTCAGTCACATGTCCAAAGTCCTTGACCTCATTTTCATGGTTCAGTGACTACTTGAAAAAAAAGTTAAGATTTTTTGTAATGTTAAATTCTCTCTTATTATAAGTAATAGGATAACTATATTTGGTATGTGCGTACCTTGCGAGGTCCTCATGCCCGTCAGACAGTTTTCACTTGACCTCGACCTCATTTCATGGATCAGTGAACAAGGTTAAGTTTTGGTGGTCAAGTCCATATCTCAGATACTATAAGCAATAGGTCTAGTATATTCGGTTAGTGGAAGGACTGTAAGGTGTACATGTCCAACTGGCAGGTGTCATCTGACCTTGACCTCATTTTCATAGTTCAGTGGTTATAGTTAAGTTTTTGTGTTTTGGTCTGTTTTTCTTATACTGTATGCAATAGGTCAACTATATTTGGTGTATTGAATGATTGTAAGGTGTACATGTCTAGCTGGCAGTTGTCATCTGACCTTGACCTCATTTTCATGGTTCAGTGGTCAAAGTTAAGATTTTGAATTTTGGTCTTTTTTGTCGAGCCTTCGACTTTTGTCGAAAAAGCGAGACATAGCGATCCTACATTCCGTCGTCGTCGTCGTCGTCGTCGGCGGCGTCCACAAATAAAAGGAAACATTACATTCACTCTGTGGTTAAAGTTTTTGAAATTTTAATAACTTTCTTAAACTATCCTGGATTTATACCAAACTTGGAAAGAAGCTTGTTTATGATCATAAGATAGTATCCAGGAGTAAATTTTGTAAAAAAAAAATTCTATTTTTCCGTATTTTACTTATAAATGGACTTAGTTTTTCTGCCAGTTAACATTACATTCACTCTGTGGTTAAAGTTTTTAAAATTTTTACAACTTTCTTAAACTATCCTGGATTTGTACCACACTTGGACAGAAGCTTGTTTATGATCAAAAGCTAGTATCTAGAAGGAAATTTTGATAAAATTTTGTTCCATTTTTTCTGTATTTTACTTATAAATGGACTTAGTTTTTCTTCCAGTCAACATTACATACATTCTACAGTTTAAGTTTTTAAAACATTTATTAGATTCATAAATTATCCTGGATTTTTACCAAACTTGGACAGAAGCTACTTACAATCAAAACATAGTATAGAGGGGAATATTTTTATTAATTTTTTTCCTCATTTTTGTTGAGCCTGTGATTAACACCAAAAGTAGGCGAGACACTGGGTTCCGCTGGAACCCTTACGAATTTTTTCTAATACTATATGCAATAGTTCAACTATATTTGGTGTATGGAAATATTTTATGATCTATATGTCAGTCACGCAGGTTTTATTTGACCTTGACCTCATTTTCAAGGTTCATTGCTCAGTGTTAAGTTTTTGTGTTTTGGTCTGTTTTTCTTAAACTATTAGCAATAGGTCAACTATATTTGTTGTATGGAAGAATTGTTAGCTGTACATGCCTGCCTAGCATGGTTCATCTGACCTTGACCTCATTTTCATGGTTCATTGGTCAATGTTTAGTTTATTTGGTTAATGTTAAGTTTATGTGACAGTTGTAATAAAGCTTTATATTTAGGAATATCAACATAATATCAATGATTAGTAAAGAAGGCGAGACATTTCAGCGTGTGCACTCTTGTTGTGTTTTGGTCTGTTTTTCTTAAACTATAAGCAATAGGTCAACTATATTTGTTGTATGGAAGAATTGTGAGCTGTACATGCCTGCCTAGCATGGTTCATCTGACCTTGACCTCATTTTCATGGTTCATTGGTCAATGTTAAGTTTACTTTGGTTAATGTTAAGTTTATGTGACAGTTGTAATAAAGCTTTATATTTAGGACTATCAACATAATATCAATGATTAGTAAAGAAGGCGAGACATTTCAGCGTGTGCACTCTTGTTATCAAACAAGAGGATGTCTTGGGTACTAAAAATGGTCAATGATTAAATTTGGGGATTCAAGTAGAAAAGTTCAATAGCGCAATACCCTTTTTCTTTTAAACAGGAATATATGTGTCAGTGGTAACAATGAACACAACAATGTTCAAAATCGAGTGAAAACACCGTTCACGCGAATCAACGATGCTAAACGTCTTTTCATTGCATTGTCCAAACGTGTAATTAGTTTTTGTAGTAGTCTTAGCCTTTCCTGGTGCAAGGTTTGATATAAATCATCGATTGAGCGAATATGGGACATGATTGGTCGTCGTGGTACCTTAGAGAGTATCACTAAATCAGAATTAGCTCAAGCTTTGCAGCAAAAAATGGAAAAGACTACCAGAATACAAAGTTAACGTTTGATCCATTGAATGAGAAGATGATTATCATCGATGATTCGTTTGAACGGTGATCTCACTCGGTATTGGACATGTTTATTGTAACCAGACACATATTCTCGTTTTCCAAATTTTAAGAATTGTGCTATCGATCTTTACTACTTGTAAGCATCCAAAGTAAAACATTTTCCATTTTTAATACCCAAGACATCCTTTGTCAAAAAATATAGTTTATTAGATTCGTTATTTTTCGTAACCCCATTTAAATTATTCATGCATGTGGTCTTGTCAATAACAAAAATAGCCATATATATATACTTTCGGTGACGAAATAATAGTATATGTTATAATGTTTTGGCTTGTGAGTAAAATCAGGTTGGAGCGATATTTGTATCCAGGTGTATTTATGTAATTACCAGGTTGTAAGGTAATACATCGACAATCATGATAATTCGAACCTTTTGTTTAACACAGGATGTAAGTATAACGACTCTGTTTTCCTCCATCATGATGCTAAGTCTTTCTATAAAATCTGTTAATGGTATTTATTTTATTTTAGTGTAACGTATTGTATGTTTTTTTACTTTCTTTCAATGCAAATTCACTTCCACTGTTTATGCGATAAAAGTGTGCTACGTTGTTTCAGAGTATGTTTTTGATATATTATGTATACATTTTGCGTATGAGTATTTTGTAAAATGGAAAAATATCTCCTTGTGATTCGAAGTTTTTAATAAAAAGTTTGTATAATTGTAACATAGTTTTCATTAATAGTTGAAGAAATGTAGTAATGTATTATATTATATCAAAATGTGAGTATATTTGATTATCTAACGTGTACGCCAGGTTTACAAGTGACCTAAGTTTATAGGTACCAGGTTTGTAACCAGTTATATTGTATATCCTAAAACATTTTTCAAGTTAAATGATTTATTCCACAAGAAAACAGTATTCTTAAAAACAACAAAGATATAAAATAAGTACGACTACTGTTCACGTTAATAGTAAAATAATTCAACAACTGTTCTACTCCAACTTATATATATAACTGATTCCCAAATTTGCAGTTATAACCATAGGTATTTTGTTTATATAGTCATATTATTAGATCAAGGTTGCGTTTCGTTTGCGGAAATGACCTTCGGAAAAAACATTGATCGGCTCGATGCCTGTATAGGCTGGTAAAATGGCGTTCCAGCTAAATGGAAATCAAGAAGGACTATTTCGCTCCTTAAACTTTTATTTTAGCAGTCCGGCAAGATCGAACAACAAACTCCAAACCAACTGTAAAGTAACATACAAACAATAACAATATATATAAGCACAAGCAATTAAAGGATTAAGAAGATTAGCATATGCCAAATAGAAATAACAATAGATTAGAAGAGTAATTAATGTCCGACACGTATAAGTAAATTATTGTCTAAACTGTTACAGAAAATAAATAATTAAATGAATAGAGTAAATGAATTTAAGTCCTTTGTTCAAGATAATGACACATAATCCGTGTAAAACACTTATGCCTAAATTTACGACAAAGTTCAGAATAATAAAATAAATGCAAAACAAGAATATACATTAAAACAACTGAATTCATAAAACGTGTTCAAAACTAATTTCATTGCATTTCATTCCAAATTGTCCGGTCATACCTGAAGAAAGTGTACGTGTAGGGTATATTTTCTTCACACGGATTGTTATTTTGATAGTTGGGGTATGCAAATCTTAGTAAGTATATCCATATAGTATTAGGCAAGATATATTTATATGACAATACTATGTCATAGTCCTGATCATTTATGTGATATTAGCCAGTAGACGTTCAACACTAATCAATAATTAATAAACATGTTTATATAATTAACACATAGCTGATAGGCTTCGGTTGATAATGGATTTTCTAAGGGGTACAATCTGCTCTATCACCCTCCCAATAAATATGTTTTATCTAAATTATTATACTGAATTTTATTTGAAATTTTAAATTGCCAGTAATAATTAAACTATGACGTATTTAGTAAAGTACACAAATCATAAGCGTCTCCGTGCGGGTTGATGAAATAAAAGCCATGGTATAAAGGAGATTGTCTCCGTCGTATTAACCAATCACAATCTGACATTTTAACATGAAGTACAATAACATTGCAAAGCAAATTTTTAAATATTTCCCACAGAATGTAACGAAAAGTAACCGTGCAATATTCTATTATGTTGCACTAGTGACCCGCCGTGACATTTCCAGGCTTATAATTAAGGAGGTAGAAAGTAATTGTGAGAAATACGTGGTTAACTACATATAAACGTTATGCAAAATTTCGTAAAGGTACATATACGTTCATTTCTATACTGAATGTATGTTTTGGATGCTTTTTACCATTGCATATTAAATTTACATAATTTAAAACTTTTATCGAAAGCGTGCGAACTAATCCTAAATAAATGCAACAGTAGTATACCGCTGTTCAAACGTCAAAATGCAGATGGGACAGTCTGTATATTTTACCATTTGAAATCTCTGTTTCAAAAACATAAAATTTGTAAAATGAACGTTTTTCTTCCTTTTGCTTTGGAAACATTGTCAACTGAGGCGAAGCCAAGGTTGACAATGTCTTTTCGAGGGGTAACAATCTGCTCTATCACCCTCTCAGATATGTGTTATTTAATTTTAGTATACTGAATGTTCTGTTATTACTGTCTATTAAATTTCAAATTCAAAGAAATAAACAATGTCGTCTTGTACATAACAATCATCCGTATTTATTAAAGCGCACACTTGAGCAAGCGTCTCAAGGGTAATAGAGTATTTGCCATGGGATAGAGTAAATTGTCTCCCTCGTATTAACCAATCAAAATCTTGCATTTTGACATGAAGTATGATAAATACATTTACCTTGCTTTGTAGCAGTCCGACACACAAAGTCGGATTTTTAGTATGATAGCCCACAGATAACAGTCCGCAGGAAGACTATCAACTTTTTCCGACACCAAGCTTACTTACCATTCATTATTCTTACTGTTAAATGCCGAAGTGAACCGTTTAAAGTCCTTTGTTTGATCATAATGGGGATCGAACAAACGACTTTCCACACTCAAGGCTAACAGGCAACCACAAGATGAAAAACAAGCACTATAAAAATAAAGATTTATTCAAGAAAAATTAAAAAAAATCATTTCAGAAATGCATTTAACTTTTGAATAATATTTTTAAAAACCATATAAAATAGTATAAATATAGAAAATTTATGAAATGGTCTTTACTCTTCGTATATGTCCATTCATATGTGAGGAATTCTCTGTATAATGATTATTAGAAGACACATCTTCTTTTTCACTGTTATCACTATCACTCCGTACATCTTGTAGCTGGAAAAGGAGATATAAATATCAACAGTCTGTGAATACAGCAATGCATGAAACAATATGTAGATATCACATGTATCTTACTTGAGAGATATCTTTGGATAGTGCCCAAATGTACGTCATTTCTAAGTTGTTTGGTGTCTCGTTGGAACTGAAATTAATCTTTTCCCCCTATTTCCTTTTAATTTAAAGAAGATCTAACTCAAAGATATCAGCTAAAGGAGGGGGTTATTAATTTTATCGCATTCTATGAATACTTTTCGTGGCATTTTGATATACAAAAATGTATGCATATAATATGAATTCTGTTCTATGGGTTTACACATATTTTTAAAATATGCACACCTTGAAAATTAATCATTCTAAAATATTAACATAAAGTGTTTCAAATTTTTCATGTCGGGTCCATTTATAGCCGACTATACGGTATGGGGTTTTCTCATTGTTGAAGACCGTACGGTTGCCTATAATTGTTTTCATCCACTTCATTTGAACTTTGGTGGATAGTTGTCTCAATGGGAATCATACCACATCTTATTTTTATATTACCGTATTACTGCACCTAATGCGCATTTACACATAAACGTCTCTTCAGTGATGCTTGAGGTAAAAGTTTTGCTAATCCAAAACTCATACAAACCTTGATGAGCTGATAAAATCAATCTGTGTTACATACTTACTTGACCTTCAGTAAACTTTTTTGCAGCTGTTCTAATTATCATTATAGTCCAAAATATATGGAGAATTTGCAACACTCCCAGCATGACTTTCAATAACTGCATTACAAAGCTACTTCCATAAAACTGTTCATGAGGTCCATTATTATTTACATATTCAGGAAGTTCAATTGTAACGGAATATAAAACCCTAGATAATAAATATATTATTATTTTTTTACATCATTTTGTCAAAATGGATAATTGGGTAAATGTACAGAAGACAGATCGATTATTTAAGGTCAGTTTTATGTGAATTAAGTATTAATCAAATTAAATCATTATCGAACTCTTACATCCTCCATTGTTGTCGAGCCAGCGACATTTATGTCGCGAAAGCGAGACATAGCAATCTTAGATTCCGTCGTCGGCGGCAACTTTTAGGTTCAGTCTGTGGTTAAAGTTTTTTAAAACATCAATAACTTTGTCAAACCTTCATGGAATTTTTGGAAATTTGGACAAAAGCTTGTTTATGACCAAAATACAGTATCCAGGGCAAAATTTGAAAATATTTATTTCATAATCCCGTATTTTACTGACAAATGGACTTACTTTTTTTACAGTTAACACTAGATTCAGTCTGAGGATAAAGTTTTTCAGTCACCAATAACTTTGTCAAACCTTCATGGAATTTTAGGAAATTTAGACAGGAGCTTAGTTTTGACTAAAATACAGTATGCAGAGCAAAATTTTGAAAATATTTATTTTCATTTAACTGAGAAATGGACTTAGTTTTTTTACATTTAACAAATAGGTATAGTCCGGGGTAAAAGTTTGTTACACATCAATTACTTTATCAAACCTACATAGAATTTTATGAAACTTTGGCACAAGCTATTTTGAAGAAATGATGTCTGAAGCAAACTTTTCAAAATGTATTTTTTTCATTTTCAGTATTTTTCTGATGGATGGACTTAGTTTTTACAGTTAACATTTACAGACAGTCTGGGATTAAACTTTTTTGACATGATACATTTGCAAACCTTAATGGATTTTTATGAAACTTGAACAGAAACTAAACTTCAAGACCATGAAATATCATTTAAAGAAAAAGTTTCATTTTTTTTTAAATTCTGTATTTTACTGATAAATAGACTCACTTTTTAAGTCAACTTTACATTTTTACACTGACAGCAGCAATCGCAGGCGAGACACAGGGTTCCGCGGAACCCCTTATGAATTTTTACAGACCAAGTTACAAAGAAATAATCTTTTCATGATTCATACGAATCATCGACATCAATAACTTTGTCAAACCTTCATGGAATTTTTGGAAATTTTGACAAAAGCTTGTTTATGACCAAAATACAGTATCCAGGGCAAAATTTGAAAATATCTATTTCATTATCCCGTATTTTACTGACAAATGGACTTAGTTTTTTTACAGTTAATACTAGATTCAGTCTGTGGATAAAGTTTTTCAGTCACAAATAACTTTGTCAAACCTTCATGGAAATTTAGGCAGGAGCTTAGTTTTGACTAAAATACAGTATGCAGAGCAAAATTTTGAAAATATTTATTTTCATTTAACTGAGAAATCGACTTAGTTTTTTTACATTTAACAAATAGGTATAGTCCGGGGTAAAAGTTTGTTACACATCAATTACTTTATCAAACCTACATAGAATTTTATGAAACTTTGGCACAAGCTATTTTGAAGAAATGATGTCTCAAGCAAACTTTTCAAAATGTATTTTTTTCATTTTCAGTATTTTTCTGATGGATGGACTTAGTTTTTTACAGTTAACATTTACAGACAGTCTGGGATTAAACTTTTTTGACATGATACATTTGCAAACCTTAATGGATTTTTATGAAACTTGAACAGAAACTAAACTTCAAGACCATGAAATATCATTTAAAGAAAAAGTTTCATTTTTTTTTAAATTCTGTATTTTACTGATAAATAGACTCACTTTTTAAGTCAACTTTACATTTTTACACTGACAGCAGCAATCGCAGGCGAGACACAGGGTTCCGCGGAACCCCTTATGAATTTTTACAGACCAAGTTACAAAGAAATAATCTTTTCATGATTCATACGAATCATCGACATCAATAACTTTGTCAAACCTTCATGGAATTTTTGGAAATTTTGACAAAAGCTTGTTTATGACCAAAATACAGTATCCAGGGCAAAATTTGAAAATATCTATTTCATTATCCCGTATTTTACTGACAAATGGACTTAGTTTTTTTACAGTTAATACTAGATTCAGTCTGTGGATAAAGTTTTTCAGTCACAAATAACTTTGTCAAACCTTCATGGAAATTTAGGCAGGAGCTTAGTTTTGACTAAAATACAGTATGCAGAGCAAAATTTTGAAAATATTTATTTTCATTTAACTGAGAAATGGACTTAGTTTTTTTACATTTAACAAATAGGTATAGTCCGGGGTAAAAGTTTGTTACACATCAATTACTTTATCAAACCTACATAGAATTTTATGAAACTTTGGCACAAGCTATTTTGAAGAAATGATGTCTCAAGCAAACTTTTCAAAATGTATTTTTTTCATTTTCAGTATTTTTCTGATGGATGGACTTAGTTTTTTACAGTTAACATTTACAGACAGTCTGGGATTAAACTTTTTTGACATGATACATTTGTAAACCTTAATGGATTTTTATGAAACTTGAACAGAAACTAAACTTCAAGACCATGAAATATCATTTAAAGAAAAAGTTTCATTTTTTTTTTAAATTCTGTATTTTACTGATAAATAGACTCACTTTTTAAGTCAACTATACATTTTTACACTGACAGCAGCAATCGAAGGCGAGACACAGGGTTCCGCGGAACCCCTTATGAATTTTTACAGACCAAGTTACAAAGAAGTAATCTTTCCATGATTCATACGAATCATCGACACTTGTATGACTTCAAATGTATATATATGCTATGTTAATAGTATGGGCGCATCGTCACCGTTTACAGTCACATAAAAAGGATTCAAACAAGTGAAGTCGCCAGTTTTATTTTACAGACTTTATTTATTATCAATCAGATTAAGACGCAGATATTTCTTCAAAAAAAAACTTTCTGAATTATCTATCTGATTTGATATTATCTTGAAAATTCTTAGAATGTATGTGGTCAACCCAAAAAGTGTAAACTTTATTATTTTAAGTCGATTTTTGATGCAGTGTTTGTAGAGTGTATATATACCATTTTGTTTTTCTTTGTTGAAACAGTTATTTGTTTTTATAATGATTAAGATTATAACATAATGTTGACTGCTATACCCCAATTAATGACAATTTTACCTATTATGTCTGTTTGTTTTGCTCACACATTGTTGTCAATATAATGGAATTCTATTCTATACAAGTGAGAGGTTTAGCTAGGTATAAAACCAGGTTTAATTCACCATTTTCTAAATAAGGAAATGCCTGTACCAAGTCAGGAATATGACAGTTGTTTTCCGTTCGTTTGATGTGTTTGAGCATTTGATTTTGCCTTTTTATAAAGGACTTTCCGTTTTGAATTTTCCTTTAAGTTCGGTATTTTTGTTGTTTTACTTTTTTTTTAGTTTCTTCTTGTTTCATATCAGGTTACAGTTTGTATGCAAAAGTTCCCAAATTTTCAAGCGCAAACAGATCACAACATGTACCCCAATTAATGACAATTTGACCTATTATGTCTGTTTGTTTTGCTCACACATTGTTGTCAATATAATGGAATTCTATTCTATACAAGTGAGAGGTTTAGCTAGCTATAAAACCAGGTTTAATCCACCATTTTCTACATGAGGAAATGCCTGTACCAAGTCAGGAATATGAATGTTGTTTTCCATTCGTTTGATGTGTTTGAGCTTTTGATTTTGCCATTTGATATGGGACTTTCCGTTTTGAATTTTCCTTGGAGTTCGGTATTTTCGCCATTTTACTTTTTGTTACAATGTATGAATATTGTCTAAACTATTTTTGTTGTGGCTCTAACGGATTTCGAGTTATAAGAAGGAAGGGAATCCGATTTTAACGGATATTTCTATTTCCGAACACCCAGGTTGACGTTTTACACAGCCGTATCTGCGTTATTGTTTTCCACTGCAGGCCAAAATGTTCTGTTTTACATTATAACTATGTAATCAATTTTGGGATCGACTCAAATTCTGCCAATTGTATCTCGAAACCCTTGAATGTTAAATCAATTGTGTTGTCGTTCTTAAATAATGGATTTTATCATGAAGAATCGAAAGGTAGAACTAAACTATATATATCTTAATCTCTTATAGTACACCAAGCTAGCTAATGGAAAAACTGAAATCTGACAGGCTGACTGATGTCTTGTGAACACCTGCGACTCATTTCACAAAAAAATCTTACGAGAATAATACTCTTGTTAGTCATGAACATTTCAGTATAACTTATGATTAATATTTATCCTAAGTTTTTTTTTGAAAAGAGTCACTGGCCTCTTTTTGATCAATTTTATAAAATGGGAAAAGTCTGAATCCAAAAAAATCAATAACAACCTTTATGCAAACACTATTTTTGGAAAAAGGAATTGGTCAACCATTTTGTCTCGCCTTGACGGAGTCAAAAAGCGAGACATAGGTATGCTGTTTCCGGCGTCGGCGTCAACAATGTATTAGTTTGTGATTAGGTCTAGTTCATGGTGAACCACTAGTGATAGGTCAATGATATTTGGTATGCAGTTGTATTAGCATTGGCACATCTCATTACCATGGAGATTATTTTGCCCCGCCCCCTCAGTCAATGTCTATTGACTTTGAAACTTTTCAAAGTTAACATGTATAAGTTTGTGATTAGGTCAATTTATGGGGAACCACTAGTGGTAGGTCAATGATATTTGGTATGCAGTTGTATAAGCATGGGCATATTTCATTTCCATGGAGATTATTTGGCTTCTCCCCCTTAGTCATGGTCTATAGACTTTGAAAATTTTGCTAAGTTAACATGTATTAGTTTGTGATTAGGTCAGTTCAAATGGAACCATTAGTGGTAGGCCAATGTTAATTGGTGTTCAGTTGTATAAGCATTAGCACATCTCATTTCCATGGAGAATATTTGGCCCCGCCCCCTCAGTCATGGTCTATTTACTTTGAAATTTTTGCTTAGTTTACATGTATTAGTTTGTGATTAGATCAGTTTTAGATGAACTGCTAATGTTAAGTCATTGATATTTGGTATGCAAATTTATTGGCATTTGCAAGTATCGTTTCCATGGAGATTATATAGCCCCACCCCTGATCATGGTTAATTGACTTTGAAACTTTTACATAGTTTACAAGTTAATGTTTGTATTTAGGTTTGATTAAAGGGAACGACTTATGATAAGTCAATGGTATTTGGTATGCAGTTGTATTAGCATTGGCACATCTCATTCCATTGAGATTGTTTAGCCATGTACCTTCAGTCATGGTCCATCGACTTTGGATATTTGCATTACTTACATGTTAAAGTATTGCAATTTTAAGTTAAGCATTTGCATTATCAAAATTACAAAAAGGCGAGACATATCTCTGTGATTACTGTTTATTCTTTTATTTTGAGAATTTCTTTTTTGTTCGGCCACACGTTATGATCGAGATACGGTCATATAATAAAGAGAAAATGCCTTGGGAATTTATAAATATATAAATCCAAACACTGAACATGTTAAGATAAAAGTTAATTACACATGTCGAATGTCACTACTTTACATATAATATTGTTATTCAGTTAATGAATTGAACGGAATTGCTTTTTGGTGAACATACGGTCAAGTTTATGATTTAATCTTAATATTTGAACTGAAATAGTCGTTTTTTTCTCAAAAACGATTGACTTAGTACCTGTTATGAGATATTTCATATGATCTATTAATAAAGATGATAAAAGTAATACATTTTATAATGATTTTTATGATGGATACTTACATGTATGGATATGTTATTAGTCTTGTAGCAATCCACACTACGGCAAACAGTACAAAACATAAATCTGAGACTTTGATATATTTACAGTAGTTACTCATTTTTGCAAACTGTAAACAAAACAAAAAAATACTTGTAAAATAATTACGAAATTTTAGCAGTCTCTCAAATAATAAATGTTTATTTATAACCATCCAATAACCAGAAGAAAGTCTTTTGTTACTTTTCGGATATTGTAAATTTGTTAGTTTTCGCATATTGCTTCTTTAACTACAAGATTGGATTTATAGGTCCGACTCTGAGCCATGACTACATGGCTATAATGATAGTTTGAACACTGATGTTATTTATCCTCACTTTTTAGTTTAGTTAAGCTGGTAAATAGTTTGGAAAAAGAAAAGGTGTTCCGTTTGTCCTTCCAGTCATCGATTATCCAATTTACATAGCCGCGATTTCGTGGACGTGTTCTAGTACTTTTTAAAGCAGTATTAATTCGGATTTACGTTATTACTGTCGTTCCCGATGTAAACAAAATAACACCAGTAAAAAGTTTACTAAAACCAACAATTTATCCAAACATTGTTACGCGACATACTCAAATAAAACAAGATAATTTCAACTAGAGGCTCTAAAGAGCCTGTGTCGCTCACCTTGGTATATGTGCATATTAAACAAAGGACACAGATGGATTCATGACAAAATTGTGTTTTGGTGATGGTGATGTGTTTGTAGATCTTACTTTACTGAACATTCTTGCTCCTTACTATTTTCTCTATTTATAATGAACTTGGCCCAGTGGTTACAGTGGAAAATATTTTGTAAAAATTTACAAAAATTTACAAAATTTATGAAAATTGTAAAAAATTTACTATAAAGGGCAATTACTCCTTAAGGAGTAAATTGACAATTTTGGTCATGTTGACTTATTTGTAGATCTTACTTTGCTGTACATTATTGCTGTTTACAGTTTATCTCTATCTATAATAATATTCAAGATAATAACCAAAAGCTTCAAAATTTTCTTAAAATTACCAATTCAGGGGCAGCAACCCAACAACGTGTTGCCTGATTGGTCTGAAAATTTCAGGACAGATAGATCTTGACCTAATGAACAATTTTATCCACGTCAGATTTGCTCTTAATGCTTTGGTTTCAGAGATATGAGCCAAAAACTGCATTTTACCCTATGTACTATTTTTTTAGCCATGTCGGCCATCTTGGTTCGCGGGCGGGGTCATCGGACACATTTTTTAAACAAGATACCCTAATGATGATTGTGGACAAGTTTGGTCAAATTTGTCTTAGTAGTTTCAGAGGAGAAGATTTTTGTAAAAGATTCCAAAATTACGAAAAATGGTTAAAAATTGACTATAAAGGGCAATAACTCCTTAAGGAGTAAATTGACAATTTTGGTCAAGTTGACTTATTTGTAGATCTTACTTTGCTGTACATTATTGCTGTTTACAGTTTATCTCTATCTATAATAATATTCAAGATAATAACCAAAAGCTTCAAAATTTTCTTAAAATTACCAATTCAGGGGCAGCAACCCAACAACGTGTTGCCTGATTGGTCTGAAAATTTCAGGACAGATAGATCTTGACCTGATAAACAATTTTACCCCATGTCAGATTTGCTCTAAATGCTTTGGTTTCAGAGATATCAGCCAAAATCTACATTTTACCCCTATGTTCTATTTTTAGCAATGGCGGCCATCTTGGTTGGTTGGCCGGGTCACCGGACACATTTTTGAAACTAGATACCCTAATGATGATTGTGGCCAAGTTTGGTCAAATTTGGCCCAGTAGTTTCAGAGGAGAAGATTTGTGTAAAAGTTTACGGACGACGGACGCAGGACGCCGGACGCCGGACGACGGACGCCAAGTGATGAGAACAGCTCACTTGGCCCTTTGGGCCAGGTGAGCTGAAAATCGACCAAGAATTTCAACCATCAACGTACCATAATATTGTTATAAATGAAAATAAAATTGGTCCAAGATCAACAAAGTTGATTTCATAACAAAGGATTAAATCAGTCGAATTTGACAAAAACTCAGCAGGGAAACCCATGCTATTAAAGAGGTTTATAGGTTTCACTGTGAGGGTAAATCCGATACCTCGCGTAGGGAGAGTGCTAGGCTCTCTGCTCGCGGAAGGACCCCCGATAAAACTTGCTGATGAATTCGTATGTGACCTGCTTATCAATCTTAATTTCCCACTCTTCATCCTAGTTAATCTAGTTTACTGAAAATAATTATTGGGATAATTGTTAATTAGCTCTTGTCTTGAGTGATTTGCATGAACTATTTGCCACTGAACCTTAAGCATACAACAATCAATCAATTGACAATGTAAACTTAGAAAATCAACATGATTATCCAATTTACACACCCGAAATTTCGTTAACGTTCTTTAGACCTATTCAAAGCAGGTAAATGTCTTGTACCTTTGCATAATCATTAGATAACAGTCAAAATGATGTTAAGCAATATGGCCAAACGTTAAAACCGACCAAAAGAAACATAAGCATATAAAAACTGAAGTTTCCAGGATTGCCAGAAATTATAATTTTGAAAATAGTTTGATATGTTATGTCTGTAAATACACAAGATAAATACTTACTGCTAATAGATAATCTACAGGATCATGTATACATATAACTAGTGTTCCAACTCTTACAGCATTATAATTCCATGATAGTCCTATCAGGAGTATTGTTACTATGTGATGAACAGACATTTCAACGAAATCCTGAAAGTAGAAAGTATACCCGTATTACTCTAACATATATCAAATCCAACTAAAAAAATAGGACAGGTATTAATGCTCATTTACGTTTCTATTGGAGTGAAAGATGTCATTCACTGCTCCCATATTAATTATGTATCATTTCAGTCATTATTGCCAAGATCATATCTAAACAATTCAAAATTCAGGAAGACTTTGTATACTCCTGTACGTTATATAGTTATTTTCTCTGACATTACATGGCTTATTTAAAGTAAAATTGGAAGGTATAGAGTGTGGAAGGCGTTCTTTGTCTGTAAATCTGGTGATCTATGGGCGTTTGGTTCATTTATATGTTTCGAAGTTTAGTATGACGTCCATTTTCGTTGAACTAGTATACATTATTGTTAGATGCCAGCTGAAGCTCTCCTCCGGGTGCGGGATTTTCTCGCTGTGTTGAGGACCCATTGGTGGCCTTGGGCTGTTTTCTGCACTTAGGTTGTTTAGTTGTCTCTTTGACACATTCCCCGTTTCCATTCTCAATTTTATTGTCAATCATTGCAATTTTTATTCATAACAACATTTGTTAAAATGGCAAACTTTATAAGGAAAAGTGTCAAAACATGGTTTTACATTTGATAAGTGTTGATAAGGGTGAACATTATATAATCCATAAACTATTGCAAAAATTATTTGTATCTTCCCTTGCTACAAAAAAATTTAAACAAACTCAGGTTTAATCCGATTTTTTTTGTACGAAGAAAATTCAATCATTAAATCAAAATATTCGTGTTATCCTTTTGTGTTGCATTCCTAGGAATGAATATCTCATACACAATGTGAACAAAACAGTTATGTTTACCTTTCTTTTATGGTCTGTACATATGGTGACTATTGATGAAATATAAAATGCTAACTCTAACAAGTAATACCAATATATACCATCTGAAACAGTCTACAACAACAACAATGTGTTAAAAGTCATTTACCCTGAAAACAAGCAATTCTCATTTATTGTCAAAGTGTTCTTTTACTTACAAGTTTAAAATTGTTACAGCAATTTTAATTACTATTTTATATAAACTTAAAAATGTAGTTTTTGCAATGAAAAAAATTTGTTATTCACTAAAATCTTCCAAAATATTGACAGCTTGTTTGGATTTGACACAACTGAATAAAATAAAAAATTCCGCGGAACCCAGTGTCTCGCCTACTTTTGCTATTAGTCGCAGGCTCAACAAAAATGGGGAAAAAATTATTTAAAATTTTCCTCTAGATATTATCTTTTGATTGTAAGAAGCTTCTGTCCAAGTTTGGTAAAAATCCAGGATGGTTTATGAAGCTAATAAATATTTTAAAAACTAACTGCAGACTGTATGTAATGTTAACTGGAAAAAATAACTAAGTCCATTTATACGTAATATACGGAAAACAGGAAATAAATTTTTACAAAATTTCCATCTAGATACTAGCTTTTGATCATAAACAAGCTTCTGTCCAAGATTGGTACAAATTCAGGATAGTTTAAGAAAATTATAAAAAAAATTAAAACTTTAACCACAGAGTGAATGTAATGTTAACTGGCAGAAAAACTAAGTCCATTTATAAGTAAAATACGGAAAAACAGGATTTTTTTTTTTACAAAATTTAATTCTAGATACTATCTTATGATCATAAAAAAGCTTCTGTCCAAGTTTGGTAGAAATCCAGGATAGTTTAAGAAAGTTATTGAAATTTCAAAAACTTTAACCACAGAGTGAATATTTGTGGACGCCGCCGCCGACGACGACGACGGAATGTAGGATCGCTATGTCACGCTTTTGCGAAAAAAGTCGCAGGCTCGACAAAAAGAGAAAAATAATTGTATGTAAAGACATTTTCATATAGACAAGACTGTTTTATCTTTGAACTTTTCACTTTTTTTAGAATGGTTCATCGACGAAAGATACATATTTCATTATTAGTAGTAAATGCTTTACGTATACCTGTTGCGATGGCCAACCAGTCCAACAATGCACGGATTGGGTAAACCATGGCTTCTGAAAAGAAACAAACAAAATATGCTTTTTCTTCTCTTCTCAAGTCAATTTACCAGAAGAACAAAAAGTTTCACGAACCGTCCTAAAAAAATTTAATTTCGACAATTTAAGCTGTTTTCCTCAGTTTCTTTTTTATTAAGTTGCCATTCTGAACTAAGGCTATATTAAAAAAAATTAAAAAAAATCATTTATTATTTCTTAAAACTTTTCTCTTTGTCATAATCAACGTAAACTTCTTCAATGCAATCACTAATATGAGGCTAATATTTAATGTGCGTTGATAATGAAGACCTGAAAGTCCATTTACGTAATTTACAAAGAGAAACTTACATCCCATAGTACATATATTCCATACCATGACATAATGAAGTAAAATATGAACTGCCAACTGAAATACAAATAAAATATAATTCTTATTATTTTCTATGTCAAGTTTAGTATTTTGACGGGGCAGGAATGTAAACAATGACCATGGAAGTAAAATGAAATATAATACTTCCATGGTCAAATCAAACTTGTTAACAGCAATGTCTAAATACACTTTAACTATTATGTCAAAATTAACTTGATTATAGAACTATATATATAAAACACCCATTACAAATGCATTTTCTTGGAAAATTCTCAAAACAAATATCGTTGATCTGTCACTTATCGTATACCAAAGTTAATAAACTGCTTCGCCAAGCGCAGCTGGATACGAGCGCAGAGGTCCAACCAGAGATATCCATACACCTAAACACAAGTTATTGTCTGAAAACTAGAAAAATGCTTGTTTTATACCCTTTTTGGCCCCCTTATTCCTGAACGGTTTGGGCAATTACCCCCAAAATAAATCCCAACCTTCTACTTGTGGTATTGAACCTTATGGTACAATTTCAGAGCAATCAAAATACTTATACACAAGTTATTGTCCTGAAACTAGAAAAATGCTTGTTTTGGCCCCTTTTTGGCCCCTAATTCCTAAACGGTTGGGACCATCACCCCCAAAAACAATCCCAACCTTCCTTTTGTGGTATTGAACCTTTTGGTTAAATTTCTTAGAGATCCATACACTTAAACTAAAGTTATTGTCCGGAAACCAAATGTCTTCGGACGACGACGACGCCGACGACGATGTGATACCAATATACGACCGCAAAAATTATGAAACGGATCTGACGTCTGCGGCTTATGTAAAGGACTTGAACTCATTTTTACGAGCCAGACACCTACTTCGCTTCCTTCCTTGCTCTGGTAACCTCATTGTAGATTTGTCTTGCTGCTCGGTAACTATTAGTAACAGGAAGCATTGTCCCCCTTGGCAGGAATTTATTAAAAGATAGTATTTCACATCCAGTTTTCTTGGAATTATCATTTTTAAAGCTGACACTGTATGAGCTGTCCTTGAAATCGCGTTTGGCTTAATAAACTTATTGATAAAGGTTTGTTGCTTTTGTTTATTCTGTGCACATTTACTTTGAACATTGCCAAAGATAATGTCTTCCCGCACTATTTACGGTGCTACTGTATGAAATCTACTATGAATTACAGCCACCGAGGGTAGAACTGCAGAATTGCTGACCCCTTAATATAGCACACCGGCTCCCCGAGGTCTAATCCAAATTTGACCTAACTAATTTTTTTAATCAAACGTTTGCTTGTACAGCCCGGCCACGTGACCATGTGCTTTTAAAATAAAAAAAAAAACTCGTCAGAGATTATCTTCAGGATTGTCCGTTTGATTAATTTACAACTTGTGTACACTTGGGTCGATTAGCGCTTGACATTTTATATATGACATATGCAGGTCGTGTCTTTTTGAATACCGGCTGTTTTCGAACCGTGGTTTTTTTTCTTTCGTCTTTGGGTTGTTATCTCATTGACGTATCACTCATCTCATTTTATTTAGATTATCTGCCTGTGCATGGATTTATTCTGAGAAAGGCAGCCTGACACAATATGGCATATGTCTTCTCCACAGTGTCATGCTCCCATGGTCCACGGTCAAGTTATTTGATGTTTAGGTCTCAATCTAAGTACCAATGCATGATGGGCCAATAAAATGAATACATGTGATTTTTTATCGTTGAATGAATGACGAGTTCCTTTAATTTGTGTCGTTTGGTTGCTCTCTCATTGGCGTAAACTCTTTTATTTGCGTTTGTGTATTTGTCCATGTAGTTACGGTAATGGACATAGGAACTCATCAAACTTTTTTCAGACGAGATTATAAATATACAAATTCAAAAAGTATGACAACATTTTATACTTTATGAAATGAAAATAACGCTTTTTCGGGATTTGCCTTTATCGGGAACGCTCAAACCAAATAACTGAAAGCCAATGATGTATAAATAATTAAATACTTGAAGAGATATTATATATGACCAAGAGGGACTAATAAGGAACAGTCAAATTAACCAAAGGTCAACCAACTTTGCTTGAGGGAGCTGAACCTTAGTTTCTTAACAATTTCTGAATTTATCAACGGAGAACTTAAGAAAGGTATGTTATAAATCATATCAGTTCCGATCACTGACTACTGAAGATAAAATTAATCATTTAATTTTAGGGGTTATATGTTTTATATAAGTGACCGGGGCACACATGTTTGATGGCCTGTGGACATTTATCTTTTTCTCCAACTTTGGTTCATTAAATGATTTTCTCAGATTTCCCCCGATGTCAGCAATATCGAGGGTATATATCCTGTCTTTTTGGTCTTAGGTGGATAATTTTCTCATTGACAATCATGAACGTGTACAAGAGATTATTCAATATCATCAACATTATTTCCTGTTGGAATAAATATTAGGGTAGACGCAATATTTTTTCCACCAAGCATCCGTTCGCAGTAACGGTTATAAATGTTAATGACAGTTCTGCTCATTAATCGTTATTTCTTAAACAATTGTTAATGTTAATGACAGTTTTGGACGTTAATCGTTATCCTTTTAGCAGTAACGGTTATAAATGTTAATGACAGTTCGGGTCATTAGTCAATATTCCTGTAACGGTAATGGTTATAAATGTTAATGACAGTTCGGGTCATTAGTCAATATTCCTGTAACGGTAATGGTTATAAGTGTTAATGACAGTTCGGGACGTTAATCGTTATCCCTGTAACAGTAACGGTTATAAATGTTAATAACAGTTCGGGTCATTAGTCAATATTCCTGTAACGGTAATGGTTATAAATGTTAATGACAGTTCGGGTCGTTAGTCGTTATCCCTGTAACAGTAACGTTTATATCCCCATGCTTGTGGTGTATGCCCTTATATTTTTCAATTATGGGTTGTTTGCCTGTGAGAGAACTTGCACATGTTTATTATATCTTTGTTCTAAGCTGATATTTTTTTTTCAAGCATAATGTTTTTTTTTCAAATTGTTTAACATTTCACAGCGGTTTAACATGTTACTATAATTATTCTTCCCTTAGTTTATTTATTTTGTATTTACATTGTATCATAGATCAAATTTATTTGTTCAGTGTATGTTAACTGGTGTTAATATGTCTTTTGATTGAGTTAAGCCATTTCAATTGATATTTTATAGTGTGTCTTTCTATGTTGTGATGTTACACGATTGTTTCAGATAAGGGTGAAGGTTTGGTACCATTAAAACGTTTAAACCCGCTGCAATTGTTTGCACCTGTCCTAAGTCAGGAATCTGATGTTCAGTTGTTGTCGTTTGTTGATGTGGTTCATAAGTGTTTCTCGTTTCTCGTTTTTTATATAGATTAGACCGTTGGTTTTCCCGTTTGAATGGTTTTACACTAGTAATTTTTTGGGCCCTTTATAGCTTGCTGTTCGGTGTGAGCCAAGGCTCCGTGTTGAAGACTGTACTTTGACCTATAATGGTTTACTTTTATAAATTCTGACTTGGATGGAGAGTTGTCTCATTGGCACTCATACCACATCTTCTTATATCTATAAATGTTAATGACATTTCGGGTCATTAGTCAATATTCCTGTAACGGTAATGGTTATAAATGTTAATGACAGTTCGGGTCATTTATCGTTATTCCTGTAACGGTAACGGTTATAAATGTTTATGACAGTTCGGGTCATTTATCGTTATTCCTGTAACGGTAACGGTTATAAATGTTAATGACAGTTCGGGTCATTTATCGTTATTCCTGTAACGGTAACGGTTATAAATGTTTATGACAGTTCGGGTCATTAGTCAATATTCCCGTAACGGTAATGGTTATAAATGTTAATGACAGTTCGGGTCATTAGTCAATATTCCTGTAACGGTAATGGTTATAAATGTTTATGACAGTTCGGGTCGTTAGTCAATATTCCTGTAACGGTAATGGTTATAAATATTAATGACAGTTCGGGACATTAATCTTTATTCCTAAAGGAATCATAAATGTTGTGTTTTGTGTACTGTTGTTTGTCTGTTTGTCTTTTTCTTTTTTAATCATGGCGTTGTTAGTTTATTTTTCGACTTGTGAGTTTGAATGTCTCTTTGGTATCCTTCGCCTGTCTCTTATAAGAACTCGATGAGGCAATAAAAAAACTATATTTCATTGAAAGAAAATATATGACTGTAATACCACAAGGTTTGTAACAGTGTCCTAACTTAAAACCAAGAATATAGTATATCATGGTGGAACTACATACCTTGCGTCCTCTAATCGTTTCATATCTGTAACCTTATCTTGCTTCTTTCGTTTGCGAAACCAAATCTCTACTTGTCTTACAGTCATTTCTGACTTCTTTGCCAAAGACTGTAATTACCATTATGATTTATATTAGAACATGCAAGTCGTATAAAATTCATCATATCATGTGTTTGGCTTTATTTTTAGACAAGACGATTCAAATTTGAAAAAAAAACGTAACTTTTTTTTAAATTTGTTTTCGTTGATTGTGTTGATATTACTGACAACATCGTTTTATTTAAATATTTTTTTTATTTTATTTTATTTTTTTTTCGTTTCGCTTTTCATTATTCATATTTATCATACAATGACGAAAAAGTGTTATACCGTTATAGCATTCGGTTTTGGATTTCTGCAAACTTTATACACTGCTTCTAACGATGGAACAGGTGTAACGGTTTCTTTGCTTACTATATCATTTACACCAAAATAAGCTCCTATGGGTTTTATCAATATCCTGAAATTTAAAATAAAAGATTATTATTTATTATACGTCATTAAATAGTATTCTCTCTTTTGATGTGTGACTTATGAAATATATCCTCAGTTCTGAATATTGTCTATTGACTGATATTTTCGATACACCTGATGAATAATCAAGTTTAACAACTTCCAACTGGGATTTTACCAACTGTGAAAAACAACTTAGTTTGTTTGGATTATCCTTATATTTTATATTATCAGTGTCACCGCTTATACCACTATTAAAGTTTATTCATAAAATGTTTAAAAAGGAATATATGGATATATTTCCCCAAATATAATTCTCTAGCTCATATTCTGTAAGAACAAATATATACATGTTATGCCGATTTTCAGAAAAGTTCATAGTGTCCTAGTTGTAAGCAAAATCTTTAAAATCAGGAGACGTGCAAACGGTTAACGTCTTCAGCATTCACTTAGCCTTTGATGACCTCTTGGAAGTAAGAAAAGTGGTTATGGCGTTGATGTTCTTTAGACAATTTCATAAGGAAATAACTAATATATCAAAGTTGGTAGTTTCTATCTATGAAAATGGTTATCATTCTCGATTGATTGGTAGTTTTGTTTATTATCGCCACCTTAGCTTGTTATGGCTGTATCGAAGCGAGCAAGTAATCGAGAAATATACATGAACGGTTTTATAATTCGTTATTTTCATTCTAACATTCTAACATGTAATCAACCCAAGCTTCAAACTAACTTGTTATTTGACTGCACACAAAACGTATCTTTAATAATACTTATATTTAGTATACCAGCGCTACCTTTGTTTCGTTAACACGTTTTTTTTCCGTCATAACAGTGTTATGTGGCAGGCATTGTACAATGGTATCGGACCCATTTATATTGTACTTATTTCAATGGCAGGACTGTTCTACATACATTAACATGTTTGTTCTTCAAGATTCTGACAACATCATGACATATTTCTTATCACTTTTAATCAAATCACACTCCAGTCATTTCATAAATGCTTAGAGATGGCGTTGGAACTTCAGTTTTGAAATATATCAAGACACATTTTAAGCAGCTATCTCAAAATTGTAAAAGAAAAACATTTCAAACCAAACTTAAATATCAACTTATTGTCTTCCAAATTCAAATTCATTATGTTGGTCCTGGATGTCCTTCGATCCTTTTTAAAGAGAAACATATAAAATTTGCAATATTCTATAATATTTTAAGCGGCAATACGGAAAGGCTCAATAACTTTTGATTTTGTTTTTAAAATGTAAAAATGTTGGAAAGTCCTAAATGTATAATAGTTAGATTCTTCAATATTAAAAATTCAAGGAGGTTCCTAGGGGGAAATATAAATTTGCAAGTATTAAAATACAGCTCCGACAATGTTGAACTGTATTCAAGACGAAACATTTATATATGCACGGAAAATTAGAGAAATTTGAATTCCTCTTTGTAAAGCACTATTTGAATTCCTCTTTGTAAAGCACTACCTATAAAATAAAATATTTACCCATCTAACAGGTGTCGAATCATAATGAAGAGAACTGCCAGAAAAATGGATGGAAGAACAATATCTGAAAGTTTAGGAACATATTCATGTGGTGGTAATGATTCTAAATCTTCTGGACGGAATAAGTCTGGCTGTAATCTGTTTATCATTCCATTTATCCAGTCCATCGTATAGCCTTAACCCTGTAGACGCTTAAACCTTTAAAATAAAATGGAAAACGATTAGATATTAGCTTTCCACTAAAGACATAAGTCATATTAGTTGGCTATAATTGTGATATGAAAAAATGGTAATTGATAATAATAATGCATACATTCAGTGAAATTTCCCTCAACTTGTATGTTTTTTTTAATTCTGCACTTTTTGCAATAGAAAATATATATGTGACCAGCCATGACATTTCCAGGCTTATGTATACTGAATTTATGTTGTTTTGGATGCATTTTACCATTGCATATGGAATTTATATAATCTAAAGCTTTTAGCTAAAGCAAGCGAACTAATCATAAACTTAAAAAAAATTGGGGCCCTTTTTGTCGAGCCTGCGACTTTTGTCGCAAAAGCGAGACATAGCGATCCTACATTCCGTCGTCGGCGGCGTCCACAAATATTCACTCTGTGGTGAAAGTTTTTTGAAATTTGGATAACTTTCTTAAACTATCCTGGATTTCTACCAAACTTGGACAGAAGCTTGTTTACGATCATAAGATAGTATCCAGAAATAAATTTTGTAAAAAAAAATCCTGTTTTTCCGTATTTTACTTATAAATGGACTTAGTTTTTCTGCCAGTTAACAAATATATATAATAACATTCACTCTGTGATTAAAGTTTTTAAAATTTTAATAACTTTCTTAAAATATCCTGGATTTCTACCAAACTTGGACAGCAGCTTGTTTATGTTAAAAAAAAAAAATCCCAATTTTTGTTGAGCCTGCGACTTTTGTCGCAAAAGCGAGACATAGCGATCCTACATTCCGTCTTCGTCGACAAAGACGTCATACCACCAGCTCTGGAATCCCAGGCGGGAAGTGCCAAGGCACGCATATTTTTATTTCTTTCTTTATATTCACATACACTTTCGACGTTAAATATTTTTACATTCAATCATCTTTTAATAATATTTTTCTTTTTTTTTTTAATTATTTTGTTTTTGTTTTCCCCTTTCCATTTCAAATCCTTTTCTATTACTTTTCTTTTCTAAATTATATTGTATAACTTTGTAGACACAAGAAGATTTCTCAAGTGATGTTGATGATGATTTTCAGGCAGTATTTGCAGTAAATGAAGAAAATTAACAACAGTCAATATTCCAAACTACCATTGTAAATACTAGTCATGACGTATATTCTAATAAATATTAAAAAAAAAAAATTCAGGCAAACCAATACAGTCGTGACAGTAAGAACAACATTTATTACCTAGTCCCCATTTTCTATTCATTTTAGATAATGGAACCATCACAGACTTATGCATGAAAGTCATATTTTATAACTAACTTTTATTCTCTAATTTTTTATTCTTTCAGGTTCTTTGCAAATGGGCACATCCACAAATTCTTTACTACTTTTATTTAGGACGACTCAATTCCTGATAAATACCATCTTGCGATAAATACATTTTTATATTCATATTTATGTCACCTGGCCGTTAATCGTTTTATTTTAATTGACTCTATAATCATTGAAAATGTTGTTTATGAGGAAAAAAATGCTTCCCATATTTCCTATAACACACAATTTTCTTATTTGCACATATATTCTACTTTTTTAGTTGCATCAATTATTTTGAACAAAATTGTATAATTGCATCTTCTATTTACATGTATTTTTATTAAGGGATAATTTTAAATCATCAAGCAATGTAAAAATTATCTTCTTTATCATTTGTTCATTCAATAAGTTTATGTTTCAACTCTTTTATAAATCTATAGAATGATTTGATTGCATACTGTATTCATTTTTTACAAGCATAACTTTTTTCATACATTTCAAACGTTTTATTTCATTAACTGTAAATCTATTATGTGTATTCCCCTATCACACTGAAAACATAGACAACAGCAAAAGTAGGCGAGACACTGGGTTCCGCGGAACCCTTACGAATTTTTTAGTTTACTTTGCGGTATGGATTTTGCTCAATGTGGAAGGCCGTATACGGCGACCTATATATATTATAGTTGTTAACTTCTACGTCATTTGGTCTCTGGAGGAGAATTTTTTTTTAATTGGCAATCATACCGCATCTTCTTATTTTTATAAAGTCATAGCCACTTAATACCCCCCTCCCATCATATATTATTTTTCCACGCTTTTGTCTACAAAAATTTGTCACGAACTGTAAAATATTGTAGGTTCCATAAGAATACAAGCTTCTTAAATGGATTTAAAGAAATAAAATGCATTTATCTATACTAGAGACAGTCGGTTGGTATAAAACGATTGACGTGAATATATGCGATGTACAGTTACTCCATAGATAAGTAAACAGACAATACAAGACACAGTATTTATCATAAAAGTCCAAAGATGTCGTAAAATAGGTTTGCATCGTAGATTTAAAATATATTAGTAATTAACTTCTAGTTGCAGTTCAATGAAAAAGGTGGGGTACCATGACAACATTAGGAGTGGCATTTGAAAACCGTTTATGCATTTACCATATATGTAGCTGCGGCCCAGCACCACCAAAAACTAAAAGAAAAGAAATAGATATAAAAATCCGCCTCTGACTTCATAAGTTGAAGCCCGGTAAAAATAATATATAAATTGAAAGTAAATCAATCATTTACAAATTTATAACTGTTTTCAGATGGTTCCTTCAATTTCCTCGAGATTCAATTGAATAAGTATTTGTGAAGAAGAGATAAACACTTTACCTTGGCTTCTTTTTTTGCTGGCACTGAACTAAACATCCTATATAATTCTCGTTCGAATTGTTTTACATTGTCATTTCGGGGCCTTTTATAGCTGACTGTGCGGTATGGGCTTTGCTCATTGTTGAAGGCCGTACGATGACCTATAGTTGTTAAATTCTGTGTCATTTGGTCTCTTGTGGAGAGTTGTCTCATTGGCAATCATACCACATCTTCTTTTTTATATCCTATATAAGTTCTGAAGAAGTTTTACGTTTTCGTTTGAAGTGAAAAATATTTGAATCTACATATAAAACTGATAAAAAAAATCAAAATTTACTGCTCTATAGATTTTCATAAATAAAAGCAAATACAGCTTATAGGTTACATACAAAGATAAAGGTTTGGTACCATTAACACGTTTAAACCCGCTGCAATTGTTTGCACCTGTCCTAAGTCAGGAATCTGATGTTCAGTTGTTGTCGTTTGTTGATGTGGTTCATAAGTGTTTCTCGTTTCTCGTTTTTTATATAGATTAGACCGTTGGTTTTCCCGTTTGAATGGTTTTACACTAGTAATTTTTTGGGGCCTTTATAGCTTGCTGTTCGGTGTGAGCCAAGGCTCCGTGTTGAAGACCGTACTTTTACCTATAATGGTTTACTTTTATAAATTTTGACTTGGATGGAGTGTTGGCTCATTGGCACTCATACCACATCTTCTTATTTCTACATAATAATAATAATTTTATATGCACCAATAATAAGAATTTTTACAAAATATTCCTGAGTTACACAATGTATAAATATAAAGGTGTTCATGAAATAAAATATAATACATAATACAAAATACGAAATACGAGCGGAGAATGATATACTTTAATAAACACAATATGTGAGAACAGATATACTAAATACATGCAATTAAATTTTAAGTTTTTCTGCTGATCTTAGAAATATACCTAAGGTATTTATTTCTTTAATATTTCTGACAGATAACAACTGGATAAATTTGTATGCAGATGGATTTCTCCAGTAATACTTTTTAATATACTTTTCTCAGATTTGACTATATTTTTGACATTCAAGTATAAAATGGTATTCATCTTCAATATAGCTAGTTTTACAATTTGTACATAGTCTATTATTTTTATCAACATTATAATGTCTGCCTGTTTCTATGCTTAAATTATGGGCTGATATACGATATTTACAAATGTATGGTTTGTATATATAGTTTACAGGTCCATCTAAATAAAATTGCAAAGCATGTGTCTACACATATATCTATAAAAATGACATTTACTTGAATTCTCAAAAAGGCATTTGCTTCACTAGTGAATGCACCAAGCATTCTTTCTTTCAATTGTAATAGAACAATATCTATACAAACTACACTTTGGCTTAATCAAACCTAATTAAATCCATATATAAACAAAATATCTCTAATCTTACAACACCAGTTTTGTTTATCATTTTTATTAATACAACTTCTTTCAAACATCTCATCATATCAGTTCTTTAATATACAATTTTCTGTACTCACAATTTTTAACCAATATTTGACCATTCTATATTGCCTTTCAATGGACATAGGCAATCTACCTAATTCACAATAAATCATATTAAATACAACACTCATTTTGACTTAAAGAATACGTTTTAAATAGTACAAATGAACTTTCTCGATATTTGGTGCCATATGAAATCTCCATACTTTGCGAGCAATAATTCAATATGCTTGCTACATAAGTATCAAATAGTGACAACAAAGTTTCATGATTATAGTAATTGTCATGTATTTCATTAAATAGGCTAAACAGCCTTTTTACCCTGTTCTGATAGTTCAAGTTCTTTTGGGTATTTGCAAAATTACCAGTATAGATCACCAGTATAATGAAACAAAATTCCTAAATACATAAACTCGTTACATATATCAATAGCTTTTCCATTTATATACCATTGCTCTTCTGGTCTAATATTACCTCTGTTTCTAAAAACTACAATTTTTGTTTTTGAAAAATTTATGTATAAATCATAATCATTTGAACAAACATTTACAGTAACGATCATCTTTTGGAGATCAGTTATACTTTCACTAAATAGGACCATATCGTCAGCGTAAATTAACAAATACAGATTTAACATTTTAAGTTCATATGATTTACAATTTTGTGAATTGAGTTCTATCTCTCCATATCATTGACATATAATGAATACAGGAGAGGGGAAACGATTCCCTTTGCATTAGGCCAACAGTACATTAAAAATAAATTAGTGCCTTCGATAATAAAAAGTCGTCATCGAATAGTCTCATTATGACGATATTCAAAAAGACTTGTTTCATTGTTATTACAATAAATAGGTCATAATAACATGACAGAGTGTTTTGTTTGAACTTTCAGTATGTTCTATATAAATATACAAAAAGCCCATTTTAGACAAGGTACCCCCATAAGCCTGGACATATCGTGGCTAGTCACAATTATAGTTGGGGGCGTTTTTCTCACAATGACGTTCTTCCTCCATAAGCCTGGAAATGTCAAGGCGGGTCACATATAGGAACTGCCTTTTTCGCATAAATTATCTTGAAATAAATAAGTCACTGTTGATCTTTCTACACCCAACAAAAAATTCCACAATAGATGCTCTTAATATGACTGCATAAATACAGATACTTTGAATAGGATTGGTCCGTTAGAATTGCTGCTAAAACTACTTCCATAACCTATGTATATAAAATTGACATATATACATTATGATTTCGTAATATTTCAAATATTTGTCTCTAGACCTTGCGCAATCAACATCCAATCAGTTTACCGAACTTTTATTTGGTATTTTAGCACGTCAGGATAAGGTATAGTTTTGTTATGAATGCTTGAAGTTGCAGAATTTAACATTGAAAGCAATTGGGGTATGAATTAGTGGTGTTATTCTTGAAGAAGACTAATTACCCTAGATAACACACACACAAAATGAAATCTGTTTGAAGTTATGAATCAAAAAGATCCACAGGCAAAGTCTGTCAAGGGCTTTCAGTAAACATTTAAGGGGGGATTCGGGTGAACGGTGTGTACGACTTTTTAGTACATTTCGTGGATGAAATAATTAAAATGCCTGAATTTTAATTGAGAAATGAATGAACGAAAATACAATGGAATAAAAGTAAGAAATACACCTCAAGTTTTAACATTTGTAGACGCACGAAGGTTTTTTTTATTCAAACACACTTACTCTGATGACTCATTAGAAAGATATTTTACTCGACCCATATACTGTGATTTTTTAATGTTCTTATATCATCATGTAGCCTAAATATGTAATATAATGCAGTCTGAAGCAAGATGATGTATCAAAAATTTTTGCTTTATACGTTGTCAATACAAAACAGTCAACTCAAACCCGCCTAAACATAGGTGTACCGGACTTCCTTCCGAGATTATTGTCAATTTTTAGAATGTTTTCCCTCCAGGAATGACTTTGCCACCTATGGTTACATATGGGTAGAAACGATATGAATAAAGAGCTGCGCTATGACCGCATGATACGCCCGTCGCCCTTTTAGCTCGTCTTTATACTTTAAATGAATTTATATGATCAACTAGAAATACTGTGAGCACTGCTCAAATAGACCCCCACCCTCCAAAAAAAAAAGAAGACATGTACACACAGTGGTACCTATTGACACGAAAGAACGATTTGTCAACGAATAAAGTTGATAACTCTGCAATGTCATACAAGAAATTTATAAAAAAAAATCAAAAGGGAGCTTATTTCAAAAGATTTAAACAAGTCATCAAAGTTTCATGAAAACCGCTCAAAGCGTTTTGGAGTTATTGTCCGAAAACTGGAAAATCCCCCATTTTATGAATAAAGTCCCAGTACTCCAAAACGTTACATCAGAAAGGAGTAGGCCCGGTAAGACACCTTCTTAGCCCCAAAACATAGCGTTTTTACAAATTTGTTAAATTGTAAAATATTACTTATTCATTGGAAAGTAGAATACTTTTGTTACATAAATATGGACTGTTTTTGATAATACAATGGACATAAATCAGGTACTTGCATCATTATTCCATGCAAATATATTGGTATCTTCACAATTTAAACATTTGTGTTAATTTTAATACAGTTTTTGTCTAAAACCAATGTGGCCGCACTTGTGTTCAGTCTTAATATTTAAATATATGTTGTATACAATGATAATACACAACATACATAAATGTTGAGGGTGAACACGAATGCGGCAACTTCCATTTTAAACAAAAACCGTCTAAAAAATGCGGTTAAATGGCATATTTGATGGGTTTTTCTTATCTAAGCTTGAATTTGAGCGTTTTTAATGACCAAGTCAGTCCTATTATTTTACAATTACCAATTGAATTGAATGAAGTAGACACTAAAGGGTTTAAAAAATGTCAAAAAACTTTCATCAGACGTACTTCGAATTTTAGGCCGAAATTAGCCCCTACCGGACCTTCTCCTTTAAAAAAATCGAAAGGGAACTTATATCAGTATATATAAACAAATTTCAATTAACTAAAGTTTCATGAAAATTGCTCAAAACATTTTTGAGTTATAGTCAGAAAACTGGAAAAACTCCCATTATTTTATGAATAAAATCCCATAACTCGGAAACGTTAAATCTACAATGTATAAAAATCGAAAGAAGCTTACATCAACGGATATAAGCAATTCACCAAGGTTTCATGAAAATTGTAGTGTGTTTTAATTATTGTCCGAAGTGTTGACGACGGACAGACGGACGGACGGACAACGGTATACCATAATACGTCCCGTCTAAGACGGGCGTATAAAATTGATATTTTGCCAACTTTGG